AGTAACTCCACAGAAGTTGGAATATTTTAAAGGAGTTTTTGGCATTGCTTAGTTTCCAACTTGTATTGTTTTGTAATTATAATGTAAGAAATATTTAATTCAGGTAGAGTGTTGAGAATTGAATCAAATATTGTACTTTAGCATAAAACACTTTGTCCAATATTATTAACATAATCTTAATAGGCTTTGATATCAATATGTTTGTTGTCAAATATGTATTCTCAGTTTTTTCAGTTCAATAAACGAATTCAATTATAACAAAAACAAAAGAAAATAAAACTATTTAATGTAAATATAATTAACAACAATGAAAACATGGGTGTATTTAAGAAAAGAAATAAAAAAACAAAACGACATAACATCTAAATAATTTAGTGGATGTAGTAGTACAAATTACATTTTATTTAATTGTTTATTTCTGTTAAGTAAAAAACGTATAAAGTTTTTGGAAGGATATTAAAATGAGTGCTATGATAATTGACTACAATTATTAATGGCATTTTCCATCCTTCCACTCTATAAGGAGAAACACAATGAAGCCGTTGTCCTGAACAGCCAACAATTTTGGGGAAATTTTTGTTAGTACCTATTCCGCCGCGTGGAGAATACACTGGTCTGTATTTCTAAAGGTGTTTTGCCACAAGTTTCGTCAAATATGTTGACCTTTTGACTTAAAAAGCCCGACAAAGGCTACTTAGGTTAACAGCATCGTTGTGTTTTTGCCACAAGGCTCTTCTATTGCTGAAGTCCATATTAGTATTAAAATTGATTGGGTTGATGATATTTATGGAAGGCGTTCTAGTGTTTTCTAGATGAGTTAATAGTTGTCTTTGAAGACGATCTTACATCATAAGATCGATTGATTGCTTAAAAAATGTTTTTAGAAAGTCTTAAAATTCCAATTTATTGGCATTCTGAAGTCTTATTAGAAAAGTCCTTATATGCGAACACGTGGACCTGCACAGACAATTTTTTGTCTTAGGTAGAAGTATCCGATACGAACTTCAAATGCCAAATTTGAAGCAATTTCGGTTAATAATTTCGCTCAAATCATCAAAATCGAATTGAATTTTGGGAGGTACCATTATATGGGGGATATACGAAGACGTGGACCTGCACAGACAATTTTTTGTCTTAGGCTAAAGTAACCATTACGAACTTCAAATACCAAATTTGAAACAATTCCGGTGAATAAATATCGAATATCGGGGGGCCCTTATATGGGGGTTATACGAAGGCGTGGACCTGCACAGACAATTTTCTGTCTTAGGCTGTGGTATTCATTACGAACTTCAAATACCAAATCTGAAACAATTCCGGAGAAAAGTGTCGCTAAAAATCATCAAAATACTGAATATCGGGAGGTACCGTTATATGAGGGCTATACGAAGACGTGAACCAGCACAGACAATTTTCTATCACAGGCTGTAACATCCATTAAGAACTTCACATACTAAATTTGAAACAATTCCGGTAAATAATGTCGCTAAAATCATCAAAATGCGAATATCGGGAGGGGCCGTTATATGGGGGCTATACGAAGGCGTGGACCTACATGCCCCATTTTCAATACCAAAAGTCCTGCAGACATAATATACATTTCAGTAAAATTTTATCAACCTACTTCAATTGGTTCGGAAGCTGCGTGATTTCCACAAACGGACGGACATCGTTTCGACATAGAATTTTATGCTGATCAATAATATATATACTGCGTGTGGTCTAAAGTGTATATTTCGAGGTGTTACAAACGGAATGACAAACTTAATATGCCCTTCATACCATGGTGGAGGGTATACAAATCCCAATAAATTAGACTATAGAAAACATACATCAACACTATTGTGATTGGTCAATTATCAGGGTTAATTCGGGAAAAGATTTTCTATGTAAACGGTCCACTTAAATAATTAAATATTCTACTCCAGTAGATCCCAATATGTTATCAACAACTTTGTATGACAATCTGACTTAAAGTGTAGACGTAACTCTTCCTTTCTTAATATTGGTTTCAAAGCCATTCTCGTATCATCAACCCAATAACTTTTAAACCATTAATATGAGACGTGATAAATCTTTAAACAACAGACTTGTAGACAAAGAAAAATAGATCCTAAAATATTTGCTGAAATCATATGTATCATAATAATAAGGTGGCCAATAACTAGATTTTTATAAGTATCCCAATCCTTTTTTTTGTGACGTCTTTCAAATCGCCCAAATAAAAATTGTTCACCTTATTCAGTGATCTTATCTCTGTACTTTACACTTGAAGCTATTCAAATTTATTTATATAATCTGTTTTTAATTTTATACCTCTTTTTAATACCCGCCTTTTTATATATGGAATCTCGTTAATTTTTAGAATTTTTATAAGCCAAACAAACAAAAAAATGCCACTTTTCTCACCTTACAAGGACTAAACAAGCAATAAAATAACTCAATATAAGGTTTCCTTACATAGAGAACAACAAACAAAATATAAAAAACAAAAAAACAAAGAAAAGAAAAAACAAAAATCTAACAATAACTAGACGATATTAAAAGAATATATACATACATATATTAAAAAAAATAATAATAATAAAAACTCTAATAGGGTTAGGTTAGACAATACCTAACCCCAAATTCTACTAAGTACAATTAACAATTAGAAAGGTGTTTTAAACAAAATAAAAAACTCTCGCAATCAAATTTTAAATGGTATCGTAACAAAACGAAGTTATTGAATATTATAAATTTAAAACAAAGAAACAAAACCAAAAAAATTAATATAATAATTTTGTTTCACTCTTCATTTGATTTGATTGATTTAGTAGCAAAATTATTATCATTATTGTTGTTGTAGCATACAAATTAATCAAAAAATTGAATTGTTTTAGAATGATATGATATCACATATATATTGTATTTATGTCCAACTTGTATGTTAGTCTTGAGTACATCTTTAATTTGTGATCTCTATTGTATTCGTCTTCTTCTTCCTCTCTCATTTCAATCTATTATCTTTACAACAAGAAAAAGTAATTGTGTTTGCTTTGATTAGTACTAAAACTATATGAATGATAAATATATATTATAATAAAAAAAAGAAATCCTTACGAGAAAAAAAAAACAACAACAGAAAATACATGTGTTTTATTATAAGGGAATTGTTCAGCAACATCTTTCTGGGAGAGTAAGGTAGTTTTATTCTCTTTTACAAAGAAAATGCAAAAAGTAAACAAACGTTATTCCTGCAGAAACTTGCAGCAAAGCAGCTGATTGGTCAAAACAAACCAATTTGTCCCCCATTAAAAGAATTGAAAGAAAGGAAGCACCACCAATTTTACAAGTTTTATAAATAAAAAGGAAATTAGCAATAAAATAAAAATATGAGCAATGAAAGAATGATAGATTTGATGTGTTCCCCGGAATCCTTTAAACGTGTTGCTAATGACGTTTGTCTAAAAATGTTTGAAATAGTTGTTCTCCAAAAACAATTTGTCTTGCTTATTCCAAAAAAATATTTTCAAATTGAAAGCAGAAAAAGAAATAAACAAACAATATAAAACATTTGATTGAATGTCGATGAATGAGAAGAAGAAGAGTTGCAAGTTATTGCAAGAAGAAATTTATCCAGCAAGAATTTGCAAACTCTCACTGAAAGAACCGTCAAAATTTCTCTCTCCGACCGCTTTCTTTTGCAGAACTTTCGGGTTAACAGACGACTTCCAGTAACAATTTGTAACAATTGTTACAAATTGTAGGCTAACATAACATTTTTCCACCATAAGAGAAACACAGCACACAGAAATTTTAAAATTTATTAGAACTAAAAAAGAAAATGAACAAAAACCGTAGAAATTGCCGGTCTGCAGAACTTATGCATGTACAGATGATTTTCAGTAACAATTTTCAACAATTGCTATAAACTTTCGAACAGACTGAATACCCTCTACCGTTTGGAACGAATTTGGCAATTTCAAAAAATTAAATCCGTTAAAAAATCTGTTAAAATCTTAAAAATACCGATTAAACATATCGAAACCCCCGCCCGGTGTGTTATGCAGGCCCCCACAAAGCACTGCGTCCCTTTAAATGCCCTGCCAAACATACCCCCACTTATCTTTCTTACAGCCCGTGAAAGTAGCCCATTTTTTTAAACTGAAGCTAGAATCGCATTAGCAGAAGTCACAAAAAACAAAGAAGCTGTTAATAAAACAGCAACAATTAATTCCTTGGTATTATAAGTACTAATTGCTTCAACATTCTTTAAAACCTAAATTTATTTTTGGATGACAAGACTGGCTGTCCTCATCGTCTTACATCGGTACTAAGACCATGAAAAAAAACACAAATATTCTCTTTTGAGTTTCAGTAGATTAGGCCAAAGCACAAAGCGTAAACTATTTGATTTCAATGATGTCCATCTCAGAATCAGATTTTATATCAAATTTAAATACGGACTTACCACTGGATATATAATCCTCACTCTCCCAATGGATATGATGGGCTTCTGTGACACTATAACATATATTTTTGAATAAGCCACATATATGAAGATGGGAAGTTGTTTGGTCTAATTGCCGTTCATCTCTTCTACTGAAATGACAAAAAGTAGATTTAAGTTAAGTCTTCTCTAATTTACAAATTCTTACCTTATCTTGGAAGTCGCGAGTGTGGGCATTTCGCTCAGTGTTTTCGAAGGCGGTTTATTGTTACAATGCTTTTTGGACTCTTGAGAAAAATTGTTGCCTAATAATAATAAAATTCGGATTGTGCCCTTTTGTCTGGCCATCGTAAATTTGACACTAGACATATGAACAGTCTCAAACCTATCCTTCTAATGGATAATAGGTCCTCCCAATTTTTAATTTCTTGCAGAACTTTAGCGGACTTCCATATGCCTTTCGTAAATTTGATTTCGATCTTGCCTTTCCAATATCCTTCTTGAGGTTTAAAATTGCTCTTTTTCTCCCGCTTTTCAGCTGACTTGACTTGAATTAAAATTCCGTTAATTTTGGCTAAAACTAACAGTATATCTTTATTCTTCCTTTTTTTCATTAATATTTGTAATGGATATTGAATCGAGTTGTATACATAATAAATGATTTTTTTGTTTTTGCTCCAAAATGAAATGTATTCAAATTGAAATTAAGTAGTAAATGTGGCGTTCGGTGTGGCTGGGCAGCATTGTGGGCGCGCACAGTAAATACTGGATATGAATTCATGAAAAAAATGTTAATGTGACAATAATATTATAAATTGAAAATACAAAACATTTGATACACTTAGCCGTAGTAAAACTGATGACAATGGACTGGATTTTGCATTAGGTGAGTAGTAGTAGTAGACATACTTAAATTTACAATAATTTATAAATACAAATCAAATTCATAAATAAACAAAATGGACAAGTGACATGTTGGAGGGGGGTGTGGTGTGTTTATTCTTTTTTTGTTTCAAATTGGTAATATATGGAAATAAGATAAGTTTTCTTCTCTTTATTCGTATGAATCGTAGTAGTTGTATACTAAACTTTTTATAGCATTATAGTAAATGCATGGAGGTTCTGTTTTTTTTATATCAATATATGAAGATTGCTTTCATCGCGCAATGATTTCCGCTTAAGTCTTTCCCGGCACTAGTCATCGATAGTGTATTCCGGCAACTTGTCAAATTTCGCTTTGGTTCCTTCGTGGTCGGTGTCCACGAGCAGAACGGTATGCGAGTAACCCATGGTTACTTGAGGTATTTTCATGCTATCCATTTTCGGCACTTCCTTAGGAACTGTGGAAGACTTCTGGAACTCACCGATTCCCAGCTCACCATAGGTGGGAGAAGCGCCCCATGCAATGAGGGTATCATCGGCTGATATAACAATTGAGGTATTTGAGCAGCCAACGGCTGTGATATTCCAACCCGATAAATCTTGTACTGGTTTTGGATACATATTGGCTTCGCCAGTTTTCTTGTTTTGCCCAAATAAGAACAGAACACCCAACTCATTTACAATCAGACTGTAGGTGGCGCCACAATATACACTGCGACCACCACGACCTTGGATATCAAAGAATTTGATTAAACGTGGTACCATTTCATCCTTTGGCTCGGCATGGCCCAAACGTCCAAAGCCACCAAAGCCCCAGCTATAAACACGTTTTTTGGAATCAATGGCCACCTAAGAGAAAAAAGAAAAACCAATACAAAGTTACTTTAAATTGCCAAAATTATCAAAAGAAAAATCTTCCTTCTCACCGTATGATTATTTCCACAGGCAAAATCAACAATCTGCACATTATCCACTGGTGTAACATGGCCCTCCTTGCTCTTCTCAATATACAAAACTATCTTCTTGGGAGATGTTTCAAAATGGAATGACAATTTATTGGCATTTACAAAGTACTTGGCATCGGTGTTATGGCCCAACTGGCCATACTCTGGCAAGCCAAAGGTGTGTAAATTTCCCTTGATATCCAATATCACGGAAAATTCAGCGCCGCATCCAATACGTATAATGGGTGGACCACTATAATTGATTAGGGTCGGTGTGGCCACTGTTGGCGTTGTATTGCCAATGCCACACTGTCCCGACTTATTGTCGCCGCAAGCAAATACACGTCCCGTATCGGTAAGGAAAAGCGAATGATGACGTCCAACAGCGGCCTGAACTACATTTATGTTTTCCAATGCTGGGATAATAGTTGGCTTTTCGCACAATTTCGTGTCTGGTAAACCCAGCTGTCCCGAAGGATTACGACCAAATGCCATAGCTTTGCGATCCATATTAATGAGAATTGTATGGGCAGCCGAACAACTGCTGGCAATGAAACGATACTTGAAGAGAGAAAAACAAAACAGAAAATCGTTAGGGGACACCAGATACAAAGTTTTTAAATCTTAAAAATATTATACGTCGCTTATGGATAGTAATAGGTGTCTAAGATTAGAAGACCTCTTTTTAAAGGAATTCTGTGTGTAGAAGGCCTTCCATATGTCAGCCGAGGATAAAAATGGTTTTGTGTTGAAAAAGGCCTAAAAACTCTTCTATATGTAGAAGGGATAGCAAGGCCACTTCTATTGACCTTTTTAGCATCTATTCACAGGAATTTGAGTAGGACTTATGTGGAGAGACAAATTATTGAAAACAAATAAATTCCTCTTACCTTCTCATCCGTGAAACGATGAAAACTGTAGAGATTTGGACGAACTTTGACGACATTTTTGCGATCTCTTTTGCCGGTCAAATCCCAGGTAACCATACCGGCTATTAGCATTTGACCTGGAGTCTTTTCCATGGATGCTAGTAAATCATCCGGCAACTTTGATGGTGGATTCAGATCATCGTTCGGTATCAAAACTTCAACATGATTCGATGAAGACTGACCCTCAGCATCGGACTCATCACTTACTTCATCCTCATAGTCGGATTCTTTTTTCTTTGGACGTCTTTTGGTTGGTCCATTGCCATTACCACCAGCTTTACGTTTGGCCGACATTATGAGAAGATGAAAATGCTAAAGAAAAAACACAAAAAAAGAAAAGGGAAAATAAGTAAGAGGTAAAAAAAATATTTCTTAGGTTTCATTTACAAAAGCTACAATAGGGGAACATTTATACCAAGCCTATGCCTTCCCGCCGATCACATCTCCCGTACAAGGCTTGAAGGCAATATCAACACTATAAATTTCAAGTTTACAACTCGTATTATGCTCTCAAACAAACGTTCATTTTTCCTCCAAGTGGTACATAATTTCAACAATGCCAAAGAACCGCAAGACAATTTGTTTGTGTTTGTGCAATGGTTCGGCTCTTTGTAATAAAGTATAGCGTATGTTCTGGTCTGAACCAACCAACTGATGAATGGACGCACGCACGCAGAGTGCGGGGAGAACGTTTTTTGTGTAAGTGTAAGAACAAAATGAAGGATTTGCAACAGTGACCAGCGTGTAAAAAAGAAGCCGAGTAAATTAAACACGATTATTGGGATTAGGAAAAAAATATTTTGCAAGATATTCCTGCCGGATGTAGCTTGGGATACACCATGGAACAATTTTAAACCCTTGTTTGAAATCCAGCCTGTAGTTTTTTCTTTTCAGCAGAAATTTATGTAGCGTACCACCGCCGATAGACGCCAATGCAAAATAGCATTCATATTTTGCACAAACCACGATTCAATAACAAATCATTATATCAGTTTAATTAATTTCGTACGCTAAACACTTTTACTTACTTTTTGAATGGAAAATTTCTTCCTTAATGCTTTTGTTTGAAAACAAAAAACAAATGATGCGAAAATTCAAAGAACGAAACAAATAGACGCAAGCAGACGCACTCTCCCCTTCCGATGAATCGCGGCAATTCGTGCTGTTGTTTTTGTTGCGACGACCAATGCCAAAAACCTCACACAGGGCTGCATTTCATACACAGAGCTGTATTTTATAACAGTTTTTGGCTTCGCTTGTAATGCCTCACAAATTAGGGGTGTCAATGTATGTTGATAGTATGTTATTGTAATGTGTAAATGTATAACAAATGTGTCCATGAAATATTAGAATAGAATCTCGAGAGAGTAATGGCCCCGTTTGGCATGGATAAGAGTGGGGCTAGTTAAATAAATTTTTGAAAATATACCCAAAATGTATGAGTACTTCGGAAAGGCTTCGTACATATTGTACATAATATTAAAAGAAAAAATATTTTTAACCATTTTATCTTAACACCAATATAATTTAAAATTTGAATAAATATACTATTGCGAAATTTGTAGATTTGACAATCATATATTTGTGTATAATAGTAGGTTTACATATTACTCGTTATACGAAAACGCTGCTAATTGACTAATCACATTAACTTGGTGTTATTGGTCAATTATAACAGTTAACCTTAGAGAAGAATTGCATGTAAATGCACGGTAATTCGCATTTTCTGAGTTACCCAAAAGTGTTGAGCATGACCCATGGTAGAAAAATACAGGTAGATGCATCAACGCTTGGGAGCATTGATATGTCAAAAATTTTTAAATTTCTTTTCAAATATAAGTAGATTTTTATATGTTTTCTTATACGACAAAAATCGTGGGTTGTAAAGATATACATTTTTCAACAAATTTTACAAATTTAAATAATTTTTCATTCAACATTTTTAATTCCAAAATTGGTTTGACAGTTCATTGTCCCAGCAGCTGCGTCGATGCGTCTACCTATATTCTTCTACCATGGCATGACCCAATTATGAGGTTCCCCTGCCAAGCCAGCTGACTACCAAATGCAATGTCAAAATGCATTATTGTGACTGAAATCACAGAGCGAAAGATACATTTTTTTAAAAATTTAAAAGTCAAGCTTCAACATTTTTACGCTTTTTTTGATTTTATTGAATTAAAGCAAAAATTGTCGAAAATAGCATCAAATATTAGAATAAGTTTGGATTTGTTCGAATTGGTCACCTTTGGCACGAATTATGGCCTTCAAACGGCCAATGAAACCGTCGCACGCTGCCCGAATGTTGCTCTGCGGTATTTTGGCCCGTTTCGGGCGAAGCGCTTGCTTCCCAAGGCTTTAATACACCCTCCATTTATACTTATGCCACAATCGATTAATACGAGAGGAGAGCGACCATCGGCTGTTATGGGCGCCCACACCATCACCATGGCCGCCGCTTGAGTTCTGGTGGCCCACCGTGGCTTAAAAATGACAGCAGTCTGAAATTGGTTGCAATTGTTTCATCTCACCCTGTATATAGTATAGTGTTTGAGTAAAAAAATTGCTGGGAGCTCTTATGAGTATGCTAAAAATATTGTATACATTAAAATGATAAATTCTGACATCTGATATGTTAATAATAAGTATTTCTTACGACAGCCTTCCGAACCACAAATAGTCAAAGGAACACCTTTTACTATACAGTTACGATATTTAACAGGGGACTTTTAAGAATAACTTTCCAAAAAAAAAAATCACTTCGTATAGCATTTTTTTTATTTTGATTCTTACAAATCCTAATACTTAACAAGAAATAATTAAGAGCTAAAACATATCAATTGTTTGCTACATAACAGTAATTTAGAATAATATGTTAGATGACAATTTGACATGTTTAGAGAAACATAATTAAAAAAATATGTGTAAATAAAATAAATAGAAACTCATGTATTAGTAATGTTGAAAAATTGTAAATGGTATCTCCTTCACATTAACACCAATGCCAATATGCCTACTTTGTATGCTTTTAGTTTTAACTGCATTATTTGGAAGGGAACCAATAGCATGAAGGACCCTCCCATGGGAAGTAAAAAAACAGAATTTCATTAGCTTATTATTATGGTACAATATTATTTTTATAATTCAATCAATGGCCTCCGTTTGACCTCCCGTTGGGCTTGATACGCCAGCACATCCTTCATGACAAGCTGACGAAACTGTTCATGTATGTCTTCAAAGTTGATTGGTTTATTGTGATTTTGTAAATCAACTAGAGATGGTTTAAATACTGCAATAGATGCTATATTAGCATTGAGATGATGTTTATTGGCGGCCGGTTGTTGTTGTTGTTGTTGTTGTGGTTGACGTAGAGGTTGTATTGTTGTCTGTGTAGGAACATAAAACTCACTTCTGGCCGTACTTATTACACCAGGTGTAAAATTTGAGCTTGGCGGTATTCCTCTGGGCGGTGCAACTGGACTAGTTTCGTTACCTGCAAAAGGGAAATGTTTATAGCCTTTTCGTGGAAAGATACAACAGAAATATTCCCAGTAACAAAAATTCTCCATTTCTTTATTTTTCTTTTTTTTTTGGATTCGATTGCAACTAAAGCAATAACAAAGCCCAACACTTTAAGTGTATTGATGAGAAATGTACAATAGACTGGATTAAACCGTTATACCTAATATTAATCTCTCACGTTAATGAATGCATTTGTTTGTGTTTACCTCACACCAGTCTAAGAGCTGATAAAGCGTGCGTCGTGCTCTATTGAGATTGAGAAAAATAAATAAACATGAAATTCGATCATTTTACTAAGGGCAATGGGTAATCAACACAAAACCACAATTTGGTGGCGTATTTTTAAAAGTGCCTCAGGTGTGTCAATTTACATAAAAAATATGAATGAAAAAGTGTCGCTTTGTGTGTAACAAACTTTTGAATTTTGAGTTAAATTTAAAATTGAAATACATATTTGGAATGGTATTTTTCACTTTAATGTCGATGCATCATAACAGACCCTAAAATGGCATACAATTCACTACAGACAAATATACGTTCTTAATTTAAGTAGAACAAAAAAAATAAATAAAATTTATATGGTGTAATTTTTCTGTTAACGTTTCATAAAAATATTTTTATCAATTACATATCACACTTTCTATTGGTATTGAATGATGACAGATACCTCTTATCGTAAATATGTGTCTTCAACTCATTTATTGATAAAAAAAAAAGTTCAAATGAAGTTACGATCGGCAATGCCGAAATAGTCAGACAACTCTACATGAGAAAAATTTACAAAATATTATTAAAATGGAAGCTCATTGAATAATTTTAGCAAGATTAAAAAATGACACATTTCATCGACTTGGAAAATATCCATTCTTTCACATACCAGAACCGCAAGAATGTACAAGTTTTTACTACGATAACCGACTTTTCCTCTATGATAGCGGAACTAGCAGATTCTTGCAGGCCTATAATTGGGGTAAAACCATATTGCGATCTATTTGTCTGTTCCAGAACTGCAAGGATGTAAATGTTTTTAGTATGACAACAGATTTTCCCTTTATGATATCGAAGAAAATTGCAAAACTAGTAGATTCTTGCAGGTACTGGAACAGAGCATATGTTAGAAATTTATTTTCAAATTTATTAAATTTAATACTGAAATGTTTATGGTTGTACCTTTTCATGAAGACTATGTTCATATTTGAACGTATTTTTTCCAAGAGTTTGGGTACTCCAACCACTTTGCGGCTAAATTGTTGCAGATGTTGAACATGTTCTATACAAAACATAATTAGAGTAATGGAGTAACTATTTCAAAATGCGACAATATTTATTACGAGCCCTATCCTGATCTTTATATCTTGAAACAATATATCTAAATGTAGCAAACGGAATGACAAGTCTAATGTAACCTTCATCGTATAGTGTAGGGTCTAAAAAAATCAACATAGACAATCACTTAATTACAAATAATTGAAACTTACTCAATTGAGTGTTGCGTTGTGATGAAGAACCGAAATGACCATTTATAAATGGCATATTATTATCGTTGCCATTTGTACCGGGGATAGGAGGAGCCGGGCGATTAAATGGATTTGTTCGACGTGGTGGAGGTTTAGGTGTTAACGTTGCCGTAGAACTGGTCACAGTTTCCGTTGTAATTTCTATATGGAAATAGAATTTTCATGAATATTAAAAAATATACGTGACCAATGATGCTACTTACTATTACGAGAACCTTCAATTTCTTCCAGTTGTCTTTGCAATTCATCGACCATCAATTTTTTATACTCATAGCCGGCACAGGTTAATGCCTTCATCCAGGACTCCATACTTTCCTGTGATTCGGCCTGTAAGATATACGTACGATTTCCATTGAAGGCAATCTCGAACCAATATTGATCGCTTTCTTCGGACAATTCTACCAAAAAAAGAGAAAGAAACACCCACCACCAACAATTATGAGTAAGCACGCAATTGTTGTTTTATAAATAGTATATTTGACATTGTTTCGCAGCTTACCTATTGTGCAACCTTCAACAATTATTAGGCCCAATGGTTCCTTGTCGCCCTTTTTCTCAAAGTAGAAGAGTAAATTTCCCTTGAGGACAAAATATCTTCGCTGGAATGCCTTGTTGACCTCGCCTCTCTTGTAAAGGAAGCCTTCTTTGTCGTATGGTGGAGTTGAAGCAAAAACACACAGATTCTTTTCGTTGATTTTCATGGTGAAACTCAGCGTCTCTTTTTCAAATAACCAGCTACCATCAACTTCAAGGGATTTTATAAGGAATCGGACAGCAATAACATCACAATAAAAGTTTCCAATGTCAATTTAGGTAAAAATATGAAAACAGCTCCTTTCCAGAGGTGGTAAACAATCGATGGCGATAATATCGATACTTAATTTTAAAAAGATATCGAGATAGATATTTTAAAGGATATCGATCAAAACAAAAATAGTACTTATCAATGAAGACAAGTAGGAAAAGTAAGAGAAAATTGCAATTAAAAATTGTTTACAATTGAAATACTTCTGATACAGAGCAATTTATTCTCAAGAGAAAGAAAACTATAGAAAATTAACAGTGTGACAAATGGTGTGTACTCAACTTTAAGTCTAGGCATAAAAACAAACTTGAATATTAAGCGATAAAAAAAATCGATAAATGTTTATGACGCCGTTTAAATGATACAACAACGCCTCTGAATGAAACAAAAAAAAAAACGAAGATTTAAATGACAAACTTGCGGTTACATGAATCAACAAGTTGTTATATTTAGATATACGTTTATAAATCAGTGATAACAAACTAAAAATTACATGAAATGTTTTATAAATTGCGTTAAGATTTCAGTATTGAACATATTCTTACAATATAAGTGTGCTTCTATAAAAGTTTGCGCTAACCATGAGATATTCACTATTAATTTTGGTCGTTCTTTTATCTGTGGAGCTTAATCGAGCCGGTAAAATTGCATGTTTTTAAATCTTAAAATATATTTAAGCGTAAAACTGAAAATATAAGTGACATCGTGATATAGACACTCTGTATGACACGCAATAATACGAATATTTAAGTGTGAATTATATTAATTTGAATAAATATGAGCAGTGTTTGTTTTATTCTAAGGTCATTTTCAGATTTTATAAATGCTCTGTTACAGATCCTGTAAGAATCTACTAGTTTTGTCGTTTTGTGATATCATGAAGATGGTGGGATTTATTGTAGTAAAAACTTTAATAGTACGTTTATATATATGAGGGTTAACCCACTGGGTTTGGATTTAAATTGTCATATCCATTATTTTTACTTCAAATAAATCCTCTCAAAGTAGGTTAACCCTACAAAAAGTTCTAACGTAAACATGGCATAACATTCTTGTAGTTCTGGAACAGACCGATTGAAAAACATGGCGGGTTCTAGAACAGAGCAGTATATAGTTAATTAGATATTTATTCTCTGAAATATTCTAAATAAAAAAAATCGGACAAGTGTGTATGTGGTAGTAAATATAGTTCTAATTCAAGCCTATCTGTCTCTTATTTAATTTGTTTATTTAGAAATAGCAGATATTCTTGCAAGTGGCATATTCGGTCCCAAGAAAGCCGACCTAATATCATGCTATAGCTGTTACAATATATCAGATGTGGGATGCAACGATGTCTATCCCAATAGCACGGATTTAATACAAACATGCGAAGAAGGAACCAAAGGATGCCTAAAAAGGCTATATTTCGATGGTAATATAAAGAATTATATGGTGTGTGGTTATTCTAAAAACTGTTTGTTATATTACAGGTAAAGATACAGTATTGTCACGCATGTGTTATAAGGGCCCTACGAAACTTATCAACGACTATAAATGCACGGGCCTTCAATACAATTATGCCATTCAAAAATGTTACATATGTTCCGGTAACTTGTGTAATGGCAGTAACTCAATGTTTGCCAATCGTAGTTTCGTTTATGGGATCTTTTTAGTATTTTGTACATTATTGTGTCAATTTCTTTAATAATTTGCCAATCCTAATTTGGTTTATGGGATAGTTTTAGTATTTTGTATATTACTGAGTTAATTTTTATAATAATTATCAGATGCATAATATTGTCACACAATTTTGTTGGCAATTATTGAATAAGACCAAAATTGTTTTAACCCAATTTTATATTTAATTTCTCAACTACATTGCTAATATCTACAATAAATACGTTTTTTACTTAGAACACCCCAATATATGTTGCTATACTGTATTGTAATCGCTATCTAACTTGAAGTAATTGCTATATGTGTACTCTTGCGGTTAGGTGAGTAAACTTTTTCTGTTATTTTTAGAAAATCATTTAGGGGATTGGATGATTAACAATATCGGCATTTACAAGAATCTATTATTTTATTATGGAATTGAAATTTGAAATCGTTTTTTGTGGAAATTCCAACTCTGTTATGTGTGCATATGCTCGGCATACGATTAGGCCATCCGACTGTCACAGAGACTCCCAGGGCTAGGGATCTCAACCCGCCAATCGAATCCAACACACTAACATTGAAAGGGGACTTTACTACAATTGCTCTACTCTACGATATACAAAATAGGAGTCATCATACAGGGATCTCGGTGGATCGATCCCACACTCGCCCACCCTACCTGGATCCAGTATTTCCATTTCTTGCGTTTCTCTGAATCCCCTTGAGCCACACGCTTCGAATCACACACTTACTTCATACCACCTTCCCCCCAAGCTATACAAACTTAGCAACACATATTAGTATCTACTGTTTACAAAAGAATCCTTTTTAATTTTATTAAAAAAAAATAAGTTAGCTTTAAATATTTTCTTAATTTTTTTCTCTACTATTTTTTTTCTTACATTAAAATTGACAAACTGTATGGTATAAAAAAAAACAAATTAAGAATAATACCGGGCTTTCTTAAATCTATGGCTTTAATTACTCGGTAGAAACCAATATATTATCCTTTGCCTTGCTTTTCCCGCGCAATATTCCGCGTCTATACGAAATTACTAGCCACCTAAAAGAGCTCTCTTAACCGGCCTAATTGCCGCTAAAATTCCACGGCCTAAACTATCAGATCGAATCACAAGGACTCAAGATAATTTTACTGTAACACCTCCTAGCCTTTGAAAATAAACGCGGTATTTTTCCCTTACAAACTGATTATTACTTAAATCCTAAGAACTATAACCTATCTTATTACTAAATCTTTATACTGAATATTATATTTTTTTTTTCTCGAAATTTATGATTATTAACTCTTTTTTTTTTCTTTTCTTTTAGTTCCAAAAAAGGAGACAGCAAATTTTATGGACGTCACATATATATAAATATATATAGGACAACACAACGGTAAGACACCTTTTACCTGAGCAGTGATTTATAACGTTATTGATTAATTCTTCTTATCTCTTCTTCCAGTTTACGCTTCTTTCCGGAGGAAACAGATTTTGAACGCCAGGCAAACCCTCAAATGAAGCTGGACTTGTTGACTGGTCCTTTTACAATGCCGGCGTTCTGGGCGGGATCAATAACAGGCACAGCAAAAAGCTCAAAGTTGCAGCTGGCCAGTTTACAATTCAAATCTCCACACCCTCAATGTAACTTTTTTTGGCTTTTTTTTTCCTGTGGACAACTTGCCACTACCTTGCGTTACCAAAAAGAAAAGGCAATTTCCCGCCGTTGTGCTGACCAAAACCGGACAATTTTCAGTGCTTCCAAAAAAGCTTGATACACCACCGGAATATTCCTGTTGGAGCAACACACATCACATATAACAACACATTACTCAACAAACCACTGTTACAAACTACTTACACAATAAAAAAAATTGCAACACACAAATTAAATTTTTCCACTTCTGCACTGCTCTCTAGCTAAGTTTCACCGGTAACGTCTTATTCTTAACTTTGGCTTTTCTTATGCTCGCAGCCTTTTATACCCCTCTTCTCAGTGAATCCCGCCAGACGCTCATTTTCCACGAAACACCATTTTCCTGAGCCATTTTCAATTTTCATTCCTTTTTCTTTTCAACTGTCAATAGCCATTTTTTTATTCTATTGTGAATTCTCATTTCAGCTCACCCCGGAGTAGTAGTAGGTTCCCACCTACTCGGCAATCAGAGGGCTGCCTAGTCACTTCTTAGCCTGAGTCACCCTGTCATTCACTACCTTTATAATACTCTTTAACTCAACCCTGTTCGAGCCTAATTTCGTACGTAGCGAACCCTAACAAACCATTTCCGGCATTTTGATCCCATCGCCACCCAGACTACACACCCCGCAGAAATTACAAGCAAATTGAAATCTCGAAGCATCCTCACCATCCTCACTAAAAACCCAGGAAAACTGAGCAGATCCATTTGAGGACCAATTATGGGATGCACTACCAACAGAATTGGGATAATTTCTGCGGTGGTTGTGGACAGGTTTTGCCAAAAAACACGGCCCCATATATTTGTTGCCTTATTGCGCCGCATGTGAACGGCCTGCAACAAAACTTCAACTTCGGCCAGAAAATCGAGGACGGAGGTGATGTGCAGGGCCGCATAACTCATTTACGTGGGGACTTCCCACTCCCTGAAGGTCTCATGCCGGGCATAAGCTCCGAACAGCAGGCTGGTCTAAGCCCTCCCCCTCATGCTGGTAAGTATCCCCCATCGAAATAGAGCCACATAAATTAATTTATTTTTCTAATCTGTCCATCAGATCTGTGAAACATGTCTTGCTGGTTCGCCTGATAATTCTCGATCCGACACCCTGAAAATATCGTGTCACTACCAAACATCGATCGAGTTCCCCTATAGCAGGTCAACATTTGGGAAGATCAAAAACGCTCATAAATTTTAAAATACGCATTCATTCATTTATAAAATCCCGCATTCAGTATTTCTACTAAGACAAGCTCAGAGGAACGGATGGGATTTATCGGCCCACTCCTTTGGGACCTTCACTACAAAAAGGTAAACATCCGGAACAACCCAATAATTCTATCAACCTAAGATCTTGTGTGGAGTTGGAATATATTTGTCCTCTCCGGCGGATCTACACTGGTAATACCCACCAGCTCTCAATGAAAAATTCTCCGATTCCATCAAAATTTCACACATTCTTCTTGGTTATGGATATAATCTTCAAAGTTGGAATCTATACGTACTTTGATACACAAATAATTTGATCAAATTATTGAAATCATGGTACAATAAAAAGGTAAGGTAGAGCTAAAAGCTGATTACAATTTTTTTTTCCAAGTGTGCCCGACTTCTGTCATTATTGTGTATTATTTGTTTTGAAAATAAAAAAAAATATTTTCAAGGTCAATGTTTGGAAAAACGAACACTGCGTGGCCGGCGTTCAAAATATTACCCTGTTTTGTCCTGGAATTGAAGGATTAAACAGTTTTGATCACATTTTTTGAAAAAAAATCCGTGCGTTCAATAACGCATTCAAAAAATAACAATTATCAAAACATTTTGTCGCATACAATTTTGAAGTATTTTGACAGAAAGCGGGCATAGCCCTAGCAATGTATTGCGGTACTTTTTTGTTTGTTTTGAACATTTAATAACTTTCATTCCTTAATAGGTGGTGAAACATTTTGCATGCGGAAATATTTGTGCCTATGCCTGTCTTGTCGTCGTGGTTGCCGAAGAACGGATTTTGTATGCGGTATATGCTGATGTGATTGATAGGTAAACAAATACCATAATCGTGGTGTCTACGTGATTGTCTGGTAGAATGTAGTTTTATGTATGTTCGCTTTTTATGTATGGGAATCTTTCATTAATTTATGCCGGAATAAACCAGATTGTGCTATTTTTATCGCCACCGGGGGTGTTTAAGTACATTTTTTTTAAATTTATATGTCGCGTAGAATATTTTGTAAAAGAAATTAGACAGCTGTGATAAACGCGAAACTAGAGTCTGATTAACTTGAATTACCCAATTAGGGGAACAGATCAGCTGATATTTTTGAACCTTAATACGAATGAATTCAGTACGAAGGTGATTTTACTATCGTATTTAGTTTCCTCAGACACATTTTCTATGTTTTGTTTTGATTCATTCGATTTTGAATTAAACCATAACCATGATAAATGTGATATAGAATTGGTAACAAATGTGAAATAGTTTTTGAGAGTTATTTTAGAATTCTTTTTATAAAAATTGAATTGGGAAAGGGGATTGAAAAGACTTTCTTTTCCACTTATCTTTTAAGATCTTTTGCATGACAGATTCCAATCGCCTTTCCATTTAGATCTTCGAGAGAATACATATTATTTCCTATGGGCTTTACTATACGACACTTCGTAAATTTCCGGGCAAACTTAGCATTAAAATTTTTCCCAAAATCGCTAAGAACATAGTTTCTTTTATATACCTCTTGACCCGGAGAGAAAATAATCGTACGAGCCCTTGCGTTATACCTTTTTGCGCTTTGTTGATAAGCCTGATGCATATTCTGTCTAATTTTATTTCGGATTAGTTCCATCTTGTCGTTACGATCTAAATGTATAATTTCATGGTCCGCCAATGAGTGGAGCTTCCGAGCTAATTTATAATCTGAACCATGGGTATACATACTATGACCAAACAGCGCGAAAAATGGCGTTACACCAGTTGCAGTATGAATCGATGTTCTTAAGGCGCACTCTATGTCTGTTAGATACAGGTCCCAATCTCTGTGGTCATTTTCTAGATATGCCCTAATCGCCGCCAATACTGATTGATTGACTCTCTCAGATGCATTAGACTGCGGAGCATATGGAGCTGTTTGGATATGATTGATTCCATATGTTTCAATCATGTCTTTGAAAGTTTTAGATACGAACTGTGCCCCATTGTCGGAATGTATCGTCTCGGGTACGCCAAACTTACGAAATATATCCTCAACCATAAATTTTACCACATTGGAAGCTGTTGCCTCTTTCATTGCCTTAAGAAATGTAAATTTGCTAAAGTGGTCCACCACTATAAATATAAAGGCGTTGCCACTTTTAGACCGGGGGTATTTCCCGAGGAAGTCAACGTAGAGTTTCTGGAAGGGAAGATTTGTCACGACTTCATTTCCGATCTGAGGCTGAGTATTTTCATTGGTAGGCTTTGTCTCTTTGCAAACAGTACATTTAGACACATATTGCCTAACCTGGGATACCATTAGAGGCCAGTAATATTTTTCTCTTAAACGAAAAATGGTTTTTGATATGCCTCCGTGAGCTGACGTCGTTCTATCATGGGCTTGCTCTATTAAAGAATGGGTCAAAGACTCTGGGACCCACAATTTCCACTGAAACTCTTGTGTTTCTGGGTTATAGGACTTGTGATCTCTTTTAAATACCATATTGTCGACAATCTTTAGATCGGGGAGATTCTCCTTTTTATTTGCAATAATTTCTCTAAGCTGTTTGTACGAATCACTTTCAAACTCGGTGGTCTCGAATTCAAAAACCCGATTCATGTCTATTTCGTCGGCATTGGGTAGGCGGGATAGCATATCGGCGACAACATTTTCCTTTCCTTTTCGGTGCTCGATTTTGAAGTTAAATCCCTGAAGTTGCAATGACCAGCGAGCTAAACGACCACTGAGGTCCTTTAGACTCATCAGCCATTGTAAACTAGCGTGATCTGTTATCACGGTGAATTCCATTAGCTCCACGTAAGGACGGAAAGTTTTGATAGCCATCACCGCCGCCAAGCATTCCTTCTCTGTCACGCTATAATTTCTCTGACACTTATTGAGCTTTTTCGAATAGAAAGCGATCGGATGCTCATGTCCTTCGGCATTCAGCTGAAATAGAACAGCGCCGATGCCATATTCCGAAGCATCACATTGAATAAAAAAGGGTTTGGAAAAATCTGCGTGGCGTAACACCGGTGCGGAAGTTAAGGCCCTCTTTAAGTTTTCAAATGCCTCCTTTGCCTTGTCCGTAATTACGAATTTGGGCGATTTCTTCAGGGTATCAGTAAGGGGAGCTGAAAGTGACGCGAAGTCTTTAATAAATCTTCGGTACCATCCTGCTGTACCCAGAAAACTTCTCACTTCCCTAGCACTTTTGGGAATTCTAATTTTTCGAATTGCTTCTACTTTTTCGGGGTCAGTACGCAACATGCCTTCTCCAATAATAAATCCCAAATATCTCAACTGACGAAAACAAAATTTTGACTTGGTTAACCCGATTGTTAAATTCGCTCGGTCAAGGCAATCGGCTACTTCATTCAATAGACGAAGATGCTCGTCGAAATCACTTGAAATAATCAACAGGTCGTCCAGGTACACAAAGACATTCTCCTTGAGTCGTTGGGGAATGACTTTGTCCATCAGTCGACATAACCTTTGTGCAGCATTACACAATCCAAACGGCATCACACGGAATTGATACAATGGACGGCCTGGGACCGTAAAAGCGGTGTACGGCTTGCTTTCTTCGTCTAATTCGATTTGCCAGAACGCATATTTAAGATCCACGCTGCTAATGTAATGAGTTTCATCAATGCGACTTAGTATTCCTTCAATGTTTTGCAGGGGATATGCGTCCTTGACCGTGAGCTTATTTAACTTTCGAGCATCCAGACAGAAACGATTTTTTCCGGGCTTTCGTACGATAGTTGTACGATTGCTCCAAGGGCTTTCACTTTCCTCAATAACATTAAGTGCTAACATATTATCGACTTCTTGGTACGTGATAGCTTGAACCGCTGGAGACATTGGATAGTGGCGGTCTTTAACCGGTTCCGCACCTTCCACGAGCTTAATCGAATGCTTTTCTAAACTAGTACAACCTAGCCCATTTTCTTCAAAGGTCTTGAATTTTTTTACTATGCATTTTAATCGATTCTCTTGATCATTTGTTAACTCGTGAGGGTTGAGTTTGTAGTCGGGACCCGTAGCAGTCATATCCCTGAAAACTTTTTCTATATTAATTTCAGCAGCTCCTATCACATCAGGGGCTAATTCGAATGTTCGCCAGAAGTCTATTCCAAGATATAGTTCTTGTTCCAATTGAGGACATAGATACAGTGTCATAAATTTTTCCTGCTCTTGGTATTTTATGATGGCTTTAATTTTCCCTAAAACATTATACTGTGTACCTCCGGCGGTGGTTACCCTGCTGGACATTGGTATAATTGGAATGCCAAGTTCTTCTATTATCTCTCGGCAATTTTTCCCTAACATAGTAACCGAAGCGCCGGTGTCTAGGAGCCCATTCATGATTTTTCCTTGCATACTGATTTCCGAGAAAACTCTGGGATCTGAGGCAATACCAGTCACTCTCGAAATAGTTTCTATCAAATATCTTCGCTGCTCACGCCACTTCTTGGATTTTTGTCTCAATTCAATAATTTTTTTCGGGATTACAGTAAACTCTGAGTTAAAAATTCTCTCCTTGACCTTAGCATAATTTCTTTGGCGATCTTCTAATGGAATGTAATGCCTCTGACCTGCAGAAAAATTTTTCGATTCTACACTACTCTTATCTCTAAATATATTATCGTTGTTTTTTATTAAAATTCGGACGTTTTTGGGTGCTAATTCTTCCGATTCACAGGGTTCTCTGACGGGTGTGTTTCCCCTGTTACTTCCACACCCCTTCGGGAGTTTCCCTGTTGACAGACAGGACACTTTGGGGTTACTGTGTCCGGCTTCCCACACCTATAGCAGAACAATTTCCGGACTTCTACTGGACAGTCCATAAAAACATGCCCCTTTTCTCGACAGTTCCAGCAGATCATTGGGACTCTAATTTGGCTTTGTATCCGGATAGCTGACAGCTCTTCACCAATATTCTCCTCCGGTACTTCTACAGGCTTTTCATAAATTTCATCATATATTTCATTTACTTGGCGGATAGGTCGCTGGGGGAACGTTACAGCTCTATTTTCGCGCCTAGGGAAATTTCTCTCGGCTTCAATACATTCTATTCGTAGCTGTTCAACCGACGAAATGGTCATCTGATATACATGTCGTTTTATATCTTCACGTATATTTCCCCTTAGGATCTTAATCATTTCGTACTCGTAAATAGGTTGAAGTAATCTAGATCGCAAAATTCCCATCTCGTGAAAATAACTATTGATGCTTTCATTTGGCCTTTGTTTCCTTTCTAACAAATCCCTGAGTATGTCGAATTTGGATTGTGGGGTTTGATACTGGCTTATCAGCGCTTCTTTAAGACCCACCCAATCGGTGTAAACATTACTTTGTCTATGCAGCCAATACCATTCTCTGGCTTGACCAGAAACCAGAAAGGCGAAATCCCTCAACACTTCAGACCATGGAATATTATATTGAGCCTGCATGATCTCTAACCGCTTAATAAAATCCATAACTCTTAAGCCTTTCGGGTCACCACTGAAATTTAAACCAAGTTTATCAACTCGTATTCCTAGTGGTTCCACTCTAAACGTATTCGTTATCGGGCCAGTAAATTGATCTGATAATGGAGTTTGACTAGCACTCGGAAATTGGATAATTGGTGGCATATTCCTATTTACTGCGTCATTATTATTGTTTGACGTCGGATTAGCATTACTATTTGTAATAGAATTAGAGGCTACCGTAGCCGTTGGGGGTACAATTAATTGTTTACGCACAGTGTCGGATAGTTCTCTCATGCCTTTTGATAAAGAATCTATCATTTTCTTCACATCAGATATTTCTGTTTCGACCATTTTTTTAACTTTATCTTCCAATGACTTCTGGACAGACGCTGCTTCATCTTGTACTAGTCCATGTAAGTCGGAAGTAGTTGGACCATTATTATTCAAATTATCACTCACTGTTGGCACATGATTGGTGTTCTGATCTCTTCGCATTATCGTGTCTGCTAGATCGATAAATTGCAAAGCACTCATATTCCTATCCTCATTCGCCATTTCGTCCGACCCTATTCGTCTTTGCTTGCTCTGCTCTGGAAAATAAGTCGATCGGTTTAGGTCAAAATTTTCGGGTCTGTCTCTCTTATTTCTTTTACTATTGCGGGTATTGTAGATCATGACCTATACCCAAAATTTATCTTCTCATTTGTTATCAATTGAATCTCGGAAGAAACCTTTTCTTGTAAGTAAGTTTTAAATTCAGTTAACCTTTTTTTCAAATATGAAACATCGGCAAAACAAATACTTTTTATAAATACATTCGATTACAATTACACATACAAATTTTCAAATTTGACAATTACAACATAGATCTACGGGGGAAGTGTAATTTTCAGAAGCAGTGTGTGTGTGGTTTTTTTTTATTTATTTATTTTTTTATTATTATTATTATTTTTTTTTAATAATTTTAGTGCCCTTTATGAGGTGTATGACTCTTCCCTTAGACATTCTTATTCTTCTAATAAATTATAGTGCTTTGTTAACTTCGGACCCCTGACATATCTATTACATTTCATAAATGAAAGCTCAGGGTTTTTATATGCAATACTAAGATTTTTGCATCTCTCAGATCAAAATCGCTATTGCTGCTACTCGATGTACTTATTCCTGTCTATAATTTATTTGGGTTATTTCACAAAAACAAATTTTAACAGTAGGATTCTCAATACAAATTGTTTTATTCCAGCTCGGAATTACAAGCTATTGATTACACCCTACTTAGAACAGTGGAGAAAACGTTCCCATAATATATTTGATATAGTAATATCGCACTTCGTAACCCATCTCTCTAAAGTTCGGATGCATACTAATATCACAGAATATTATTTGTCAAAAACATTTTCTTTTGTCTATTTAAAATCTACTAGCATTCTATGGCTGTGTGCGTCGATGTTACTGCACAGAGTTACTAACCTAATATCACAGTTTAACACGGCCATGTTTGAGTCGCCATTTTTGACAGTGGTATCAGGTACAATAAAGCTTTATTTTAGAATATTGGGCGCCATCTCTGTTATGTGTGCATATGCTCGGCATACGATTAGGCCATCCGACTGTCACAGAGACTCCCAGGGCTAGGGATCTCAACCCGCCAATCGTATGCCGAGCAAATGCACACATAACAACTCTGGGACAAGAATCGTACGTCAGATGAGAGAAATAACAAGATGTGCTTTCGTTTGAATGTAAATAGGCTGTTCAACATTTCATTCATATTTTAGTTTTTCTGGAATATTTTAAATCTCTATAAATTTTTTCTATGCAATTTATAAAAGCGATTTATAATTGTTATAATTTATTTCGAATCATGTACCATGAGAACTTGGTATAATTGGTACCACAGCAAAGTTATCGAATCTTGTCATGCAAAAGTCGGCTTAGGAACCCCTAAAAAAACTAATCAATTGTCAAATTACAGACCACAATCGATTTGCACATCCCTAAAGAATTCCTCGCTTGTAAACAATTTGGAAATTTAAGAAAAAAATAAATAAAAGCCAATAATGTCATATTTGGTGACGGAAATCGCCTTGGAAATGCTTGGCTACACATTTTACGATATTTATGGCGTACCAGAAGATATAAATAACTTTCGAAGCCTTGCTGCTACAGATCGTAGCAACGATGGTGCTCTCAAAGAGCCACATTTGGCTACGATACTAGGTTTGGATGCCAACACTTCCAAACGTAATAATAACAATCCACCAACAGCGGCAGTTAATACAATTGAGGCCACAAAAATAAAATTACCCGAACTATTAGCAAAATTGACCGATGTTGAGATTGGCAAGGTAAAGGAACAAGTCTTGCGGAACAAACCATCTTTATCCGGTGAGAATCCAGGTGAAACTAAATCCAACCAACAACAAGCAATTTCTAATTTGCTTGATTTGGAACATCAGAAACTTATTTCAGAGCAGCAGAGTTTGCGGAATTTTCGTAGATTTATTGAGAAAAATCTGATGCAATTTAACCCGACATGTTTCGAAAGATATCTTGAGGCGTTTAAAGGAACATAGGCGAAATCTGAAACGACGTTTAATATATAAGATATTTTAAGTAATAGATTTACAAATAATTCCGTTATCCTGACATGTTTATACCATAAGTTAATTATATAATAGCTAGATTAAATATTTATACAAACAACACATTAAGTCTAATTTAAATTTAGTGCTTAAAACTACACTTAAACTTAAAAACTGAATTTCATGGCGTATACTTCGAATGAAATCTCCTGGATATGAGAGTTAGTTGAATGTAGGCGTACTTAAAATCCACTTGGAGAGGATACTAATTGTGGCATCTATCCACAACTAGAAGTCTTAAGTTTGTCTTAAGCTGTTATTAAGTATAGAAAAAAATTGTATATATGCAGTCTTAAATCTCGTAGTAATACCAGCTCTCCAAGTAAATATTTTAGGTATATTGTAGTCTATTTGTAAATAAATGAGTAAATAGTTTTGCCTACAACTTACAGTTGAGGATGCATAGATTTTCCTTAACAAAGTGTGTTTTTAAATTCAATATTATGGGGGCTACATTTGCCAACATTTACTAATTACTCAATTTTTCTCATAAAAAAGTATGAATTTATTGCATAAGCCAGATTCAATCAGATTTATTATAAGTTTTCGTACAGAGCGGTTACAAAAATAATGTTTAACCATGGTTTTCCATTGTAATGATATGCATTTTTCAACAATTTTTAAAATTTTCAATAATTTCAATTTTAAAATCGGTGTGACAGTTCATTGTCCTAACAGCTGTGTCGTTTTGACTTCCTGTATTTTTCTACTAGGCAGTGCATCACTGTTTTCCGTGAGGGATAATCCAAAGTCGCACGTGTTTTCACAAGGGCGTTTTATACATTTTTCCGCCGATACCCAAGTGCAATGGTAGAAAAATACGGGTAGTCGCATCGACACAGCTGTTGGAACAATGAACTGTCAAACCTATTTTAAAAATGAAAATGTTCAATAAAAAATTACTGAAATTTGTAAAATCTTTTGAAAATGCATATCATAATCACCTCATATTGGCTTTGTATAAGAAAAAAATTAAAAAAAACTACTTATTTTTGAAAAAAAGAAAAACATTTTAAAAATTTTCACATATTCCCAATCGTTGATGCCTCTACCTGTATTCTTCTACCATGCCAAGTGCTATATGTTCAAGTATGTTTACAAACTAATTTTTGAAGCATTTAAGTTGATTTTTACATACACCTAAATTACGCGTTTTACAAAGATTTGTCGTTAAATTAATGTTTGAAAAAATTAAATAAAAAATTAATAACGTTCAATAAATTAAAATATATGAAACTTCATATTGCAAAGCAGAATAACGCATATTTTTATCGTCAATTGAGTCGGTGGGAGATTTCAACACGCTCATCACCAGTCCAAGTAATCGAAACCATACGGTGTACTTATGTATTTCTTCTCTCTTTTTTTCAATATAATATTTATGTGTAATAAAAACAATTTAAGATGATAACTATTTTATGATTTAGTCTCATTTACACGCATCATATTACCCCGACGTGTAAAACAACCCATAAACGTTGTTTACTCTTCTGACTGACGGCGTTTTACCCTATCCGGCGCCGTAGAATCCTAAATGACCGGCGTCGAATTCATTTAACGACTCCAAAGTCTGCTACCACAAACAAAGAAAAAAAATTCACACAATTACTACACATAAAAACATAAAACTTGTATTTTCCTTGTCGAGAAAAAGTGGTTTTTCATCGGAACGAATTAAATTATAGTATTACATGAAATTATTGCTGACATTATACTTTTAATGCCAAAAAACATAACGCGAATTTGAATATACTGATAAAAGATTAAAGTTTATCCACCTCGAAAAATATTGAATAACTGCGCAGTTTGTGTGTGTGGCAGAAAAATATTAATTCTCATCCCAGAAAAAATAATTACGTTTTATATACACGTACATCATATAGAAAAAAAGAAGAAAAATATTTGTTTTCGTTTAATTAACCAACAAAAAAGATGGCTACACGCAAGAAGTCGCTGTTGAAAGTTATCATTTTGGGCGATAGCAGTGTTGGAAAAACGTCATTGATGAACCAGTATGTGAGCAAACGATTCTCGAATCAATACAAAGCAACGATTGGTGCTGACTTCTGTACAAAAGAGGTGGTGGTCGATGATCGTGTGGTCACAATGCAAATTTGGGATACTGCCGGTCAGGAACGCTTCCAATCACTGGGCGTTGCTTTTTATCGCGGAGCTGATTGTTGTGTTTTGGTATATGACGTCACATCACCCAATTCGTTCAAGAACCTTGACTCGTGGCGTGATGAATTCTTAATACAAGCCAGTCCCCGGGATCCTGAGCATTTTCCATTTGTGGTCCTGGGCAATAAAGTGGACATGGACAATCGTCAGGTGTCAACAAGAAGGGCTCAACAATGGTGTCAGTCTAAAAATGATATTCCATATTTTGAAACATCGGCCAAGGAAGGCATCAATGTGGAACTGGCATTCCAAACAATTGCCAAGAACGCCTTGGCTCAGGAGGCTGAAGTAGAACTCTATAATGAATTCCCCGATCAAATTCGTTTGAATGCCGATCGAAACAATCGTCCCGGAAATGCTGATAACTGTCAATGCTAATTCTTAAGCTTTTAATCAATCGTTCTCATTCAAAGTTATGACGGCTGCTGCCTGGCTGCCTTCACAAACGAGTATGCATGTCGTTATTATTATTCTGAACGTATTGCAATGGTTTTTCTTTATTTGTTTTGATTCTTGTACAAGCCCCCCCCACCCCCAACTCCCTCTATTATGCCTTTTGTGTTGATCTACCGCCCCTATTATCCCTGTCAGCGCATTGAAAGTGTCAACAGTATCTCCCACAAATTGTTTGTAATTAAAAAAATGTTTTCTTCTATGTTTCTTATTTTTTTCTTTTGGTGAATATGAGGAATTATTTTTTTTTATAATTTTAAACATAATTTAAGGAATTCTAAAAGAACAAGAAGTAAACATGTCGCTATATGTTTATATATGATAATATATTCGAGTATATAGAAGAATAAAAAATAACTAGTAATTACACAAATTAAATCAAATTCTTTAATAAACAAATAATGTTCTACACGAATAGAAAATAACGAAAATAAAAAAATCAATTCACAACAAAACCGAATGGAAGCCGTAGGCCTTAGTAGCTTTTCGTGCTTTTTGTATTTTAAACAATTTTCTTAAGTATATTATAATAAAATAAAAATAACTGTAATTAATATTCAAATAAAAGAACAATAAAGATAAATAAATCTCTCTCTTTTTTTGACATATTTTACAATTAGATTTTCTCTGTGACAGACAGCCTTTGTTGTTGCATTTTTCAAAAAAAGACAGCATTGTTGTTTGTACATCTTCGTGAATGTGCTCATTGAAATATCACATTCCGTTGTGTGTGTGTGCGATATGAACTTGTGTATTTTGCTTTGAACGTTCATTAGTTGTTTGTTATCAATGAATGGAATAGACATGAGAGTTGTGTGACTCATTTATTATTTGCATGCACAATTTCAAGAAATTTTTAACTGGATTGTTGTCTTTATTGTTTGATAAAGTCGTTCAAAGCCTTTGTGCATTGTTTGAGTTGAGATTTTTTTTCGTCAAAACCTTTTAGATTCAATTCCAAAGGGCAAGCAATATGTGCCATGGCCTACATCACATGTGACGTGTATTTGAAAGAGAGAATGCATTAACTAGTCCATATTAATGACACAGCAGGTATACATAATAAAGTTAATAGAAGAGTGCTTAATACATGACTTTTATAGTGATAATTGACTCATTCTGACTTCTTTGTCGAATATTTTAATCAATATAATGTCAAATCACTTTACCACCATAAATGGCAGAAATATAAACCTCCCAAGCATATATGTAATTTTACTTTTATATGCCTTGTTTTCTTTGTAACCCTATTGAGAGTTTGATTCAGTAGTGTTAGACAATGCTTATTAAACAATAAAAACTATCACTGTGATAAAAAATCTTTTTGCTTCAAAACATTATGTTTGCTTTTAGTTCACGGTTGCATGCATTTCGACAGCACCATGGTATAAGAATATAGGTAGACGTATCGACACAGCTGCTGAGACAATGACTTGTCAAATTAATTTTGGAATTAAAAACGCTGAATGAAAATTTATTAAAATTTGTAAAAATAATTGAAAACGCGAATTATAATAACCTCCGAATGACGTCGTATAAGAAAACGTGTAAAAAACTACTTATATTTGAAAGAACATTTAAAAATTTTTTGACATATCAATGTTCCCAAGCGTTGATGCACCTACCTGTATTCTTCTACCATGGATAGCACGGACGAAATCAGCTGTCAAATTGTGGATTCTTGCATGTTATTACTTTTTACTTTATTTTTACTTTTTTACTCTATTACTTGGATCTTGGTAATACCATGGTACAATAACATCAGGTGGAATAAAGTTCTCCCCATGGTATAATCAAGGTAACCTCATTTCAAATAATCATGCTCTGGATTTTCTGTAATTTACCTTTTCATATTAATCTTTATTGAAGACTAATTCTCATGTCTGATTTTGTATAAACGAAGAAGTTACGAATATACATTTTGACAATGGGATGTTGCCAAAAGTATAACATTGACAAGAATTGTAAACATATGGTTACAAATACGTAAATATACATTTTTCTATTACCTCTCAATATTGAAAATTTTCAAATTTTGAAATTTCTTACGCTCCACGCATTTCGGCAACATTATTATAAATACATGTGTGATAGCTTTTGTGGTGAAAAACGTCAACCGTTGACATTTAGATAATGCCGTTAGGAAGGCCTTTGGAGTACTCCCACATGCGACTACTTGGTAACCGTTGTTATTCGTTCGTCATAGTTGTCAATTGTAGTTGTCGTCGAATTTCACATGTTTCTTTTTGTTATAAAATGCATCTAAAAAATCAGTGATTTATTAGAAGGTGCTATTAACGGGTCAAATTTAATCGAATGCAGTAACAAGATAAAAAAATTATAAAAATTACGCTTTTAAAAATCAATGAACTGTGATAAATTTATTTTCCAAACAAAAGAATAATTGGGAAATATTTGTTAGAAAGTTTTTACTACTAATTTTTACAACTGTGATAAATTTGCTCAGGGGTGGTTATTGCGATTTGCCAGTCTTTCTTGTCGTAATTATAGTCCAAGTTGAAGGTTGTTACGTACACCAAATTCTTTTTTTTATCAATAAAATTTTCCAATATTTTTTTGCGATAAACAAAATTTTTTGTTGTTGCTATAATTGTGTGTCTTATCTCTCTTCGCAACAGGAGGCTGATCTTTGGACAGCAGAGTGACGAACGGGGTTTTGGTGTAATACACTTGGGGAGTTCTGCGAAACACGAGATCTAGAAGACATACATACACACGCACACAGATCTTGCATAATGAAAATTTGGACGTCAGAACACACATTCAACCACCCATGGGAGACGGTGGCTCAAGCAGCGTGGCGTAAATATCCCAACCCCATGACACCGTCCATCATTGGCACCGATGTTGTTGAACGCAAAGTTGTCGATGGTGTCTTGCACACACATCGTCTGGTGCAATCCAAATGGTATCTTCCCAAATGGACACATAAAATAATTGGCACAGCCAAATCGTGCTTTGCCAGCGAACGTTCAGTGGTGGATCCCTCGAAACGACAAATGATTTTGAAGACTGTAAATTTGACATTCTGCCGACACATATCGGTGGACGAAATCATTTACTACGAACCACATCCCAAAGATCCCACAAAAACATTGCTAAGACAAGAGGCTTCAGTAACGGTACATGGCGTTCCCCTTTCACACTACATGGAGGATATGGTAACTTCAAACATTAGCATGAACGCGGGCAAAGGTCGCCTCGGCTTGGAATGGGTTATAGGTAGAATAAATGCCGAGGTAAAAGGTATCGCCGAGACAGCAGCCAAGAGCACAGATGATTTGATAATGACCACACGGCGCTCCCTGGACGATATGACCGAAAGTGCACGTAAGAGTATGGATGAAATTAGCGCGCAGGCCGCCAAGCACATGCACATTTAAAAATCACAAGCAGAGCGAAGAAAAAAGCAGTGCCCATTTCAAAAACCCAATTGCTGTCTAAGGCAACGGCAGGCAGCAGCAGGAGTATTACCGATTGTTTACACGTACTGCACTGATTAGGATTAGATTACATTGTGAGAAAAGTTAAGGAAGTGTCCATGATGTAAGTTAAGTGGAATAAATGAAAAAGATAGTACAACTTTTTGCGAAATGTAGTCAAATTGGAAACCCTCCTTCTAACAAACAGAACATTTCGCAAAAACATTAACAAAAAACCGTTGCTGTGTGGCCTCTGTTTCGATGTTTGTTTTCCTTTTTTCTCATTCTTTATTTTGTAATGTTTACAACAATGTATTAAACTGGTAGTTTTTCTTCTTTGCGAACACTATGTTTATGTTTTTAATGATGACATTTTCGAAATACAGTAAAAAAAAGAAACTTTCCACTCAAGGCTTTTTCTTCAGAAAACTTAAAAAAAGAAACATCTTCCTAGAATACTATTTATTGTTAGTCTAAAATAGAGTCGCCATTTCCCTAAATTTGAAAAAAAATGCCAATGGCTAGCTATATGCTAGCTATGATGCCGCAGCCAATTGTCTCATGCCCAACTCTCAACATGGAGGTGTTTTGTATTTTATCAGTAATCATAATGAATAAAAAGTATATTTACCAATTTTAATGCTAAGTTATTACCTACATATATGAAGATGAATTGTTTATATACCTACACATATACTACAGTATGATGATGAAATGAAAAAACGAAACAAAATTCAAAATTGTGCGATAAATACCATAATACATAACACCGATTTCTGAAAACTAAAAATAAAAGAAATATAGTTTTCCGTAAAAAAAAAAACAATTTCATCCTTTTTTTCTTCTTGATAATCTGCACGTGAGGGTGATGTGTAAAATTTGGCAAACAGATTGATGCGTATCTCAATAAGTTTATCATGTCGCCTATATACAACTGTTAAAAAGCATATGTATGTATTGTTGTATGACTTGGACATGTGGCAAACCAACCATCGCATTTTTATAAGAAAAAAAGGGGAAATAATTTAAAATCGTAATTTATTTCTTCCTTTATATAGTGCCTTTTGGTATCTAATGAGATGTATTGTTGTATTAAACTTCCTATAGGTATTCTATGACAATATATATATTGGGTATGTAGAACGAAGCAAATTGGTTCCTTTGGGCAAAATAAGGATATTCGCAGTGGTATGTTTTTGAGGATCATTGAAGCATTTCTATTTGTAGAAGACCTATAGTTTTTCATTCACGGATTCACGATATTTTTAGAACTATTTAAAAGCATTTTTTTTTAGAACAAATCTCTATAAAATTAAATTGTTATTTAAAGAATAATTTTTCTAAATTTATTTTAAATGTATTTAAATTTTTTTAAAATTCAATTTTTTTAAATTTAAAATTAAAAATAGGAACTTTAAATAAATACAAATTTAATTATACCGTACTTTGCATCAGAACATGGGTCAAGACTTCGCTTTAAAAGTTCACTTAACAAGCGCCCGACCCTCAACCACTTCGTGTCTTTGCTGATTGGGTCCTTGAATTTATGAAGCCGGCGTTGGTTTTGTTTAAGGATTCGGCAACTGTTCCACTCGGAGACCTCTGGTCCACTGTTTTCCTCCTGGGGAGAAATAAACAATTTGGGATAGGAGAGATATAGAAGCCAGAAGAAGAATATATTTATAGAAGGAAGTGTACAGGGTGAGATTTGTGTCTCGTACCATCGCTTGTTACCGCGATACTGGTAGCGTAGCCCGACGGCAAGGAAGTGGACGGAAGAAACCAGCAACATCAGCAGAAATGGTTCGAAAAGTGAAGAAGCGACTTGATCGAATCCCGCATCGCAGTGGCCGAAAAATGACTCGTGAGCTGAACATATCGCAATATTCCATTCGGCAAATATTGAAAAATGAGCTCGGGGTAAAGCCATTGAATTCCAAAAGGTGCAAAAACTTACAAAGCAACTGAAAGAAAATAGACTCAAAAGGGCTAAAAAGTTGCTTCGCTTGGCCGAAAGTGGTGAACGGCCGAATTTGGTATTTTCCCATGAGAAAACATTCGTTGTGCAGCAGTTTGTAAACAAACAAAATGATCGTGTTTACTTGCCAAAGAGGTCAGCTGAAATGTGCACCTTCGGTTGGCCACCAGAACTCCGGTCGCCGGCCATGGTGATAATGTGGGCCGCCATAACAACCGATTGTCACTCTGCGCTTGTATTAATCGACCATGGCATCAGAATAAATGCCGAATATTATCTCGAAAATATTCTGGAGGACGTATTAAAACCTTGGGCACGCAAACATTTTGGCCGCAGACCTTGGACATTCCAACAGGACTCAGCACGCGCCACCCAAGAATGGTTACAGAATGAGGTTCCTAGCTTCATTTCCAGCGCACAATTGCCACCAAAATCTCCGAATACCATTCCGTTGGGCTATTGTGACTGGAGTATTTTGGAAAGCAAGGTTGGCACTAAAAAATAACAAAATGTCGATCACCTCAAGCAAGCGCTTCGCCGAGAATGAGCCAAAATACCGCAGAGCAAAATTTGGGCAGCGTGTGACTGTTCCATTGGGCGTTTGAAGGCCATAATTCGTGCCAAAGATGACCAATTCGAACAAATCTAAACTTAATCTAAAATTTGATGCTATTTCCGACATTTTTTTGATGAGGTTTTTATTTCACCCTGTATACCCTCTCAAGCCATATGGCTGAGGGTATACAAATCTTGAAGATCTTAAACATATTTGAGTAAAATTTTATCAACCTACTTCATTTCGATCGGAAGCTGGAGTGGTTTCCACAGACGGACAGACATTGATTAATTGACATAGAATGTATCAAGAATATATGCACTTTGTTGGGTCTAAAATGATAATTGTGTTGAGTTCCAATCGGAATGACAAAACTAAATATAGCATACTATGTATGGTGGAGGGTATATACCGTTTATCGAAGGTTGCCTGCAGATAATTAAATGTATCACTTAATTGAGTGTATCACTGGCTAAGTAAACATTTGTTATCAGCAGGGTAATCACCATCTTCAATAGATCCGGTGGACATTCTGACTAAATCTCAGGAGTATTTCAGGCATTTAAACAGCTCCTGTTCTGTCTTCAATTTCTTTGACACTTCAATGATTAAAATAAATTTGTAAGGGATAAATATTTTCAAAAGTTCTTCTATGAATAGAAGATCCTTTAACTAAAATAAATTAAAAATCATTAAATGTAACACGCTTAGGATATTTAGTCTGAGAATAAATGTAACCTGTTGAACAAATGTGCACAACCATAAACTCGTCTTATGGACAGTAAATTGTTTTCCTATTAGATCTTAATAGAATGGACATTTTCCCTCTCTTATGCTTTACAATGACAATACACTGATGCCATACAGACGACACACACATACATAAATGATTTAATTTCGCAGCAACAAAGGTAGATAGTCCAATTCAAACAATTGGCTAAATTTATGCGTTCCCCAAATATAGACACCCACCCAAACAAATGCTAAAAAAGAGACGAAAAAATGAAAATTGCGCATCTGCTTGTATATTACGTCTTTGTTACAGTCTTCTATGTTAGACGGTTTTGCCTTTCTGCCACACTTCCCACAAAAGAATTTATTTTTGTAATTCTATATTTGTTTGCATTTGGCTATTGCAAAACCCTTGACACATTAACTGGGAAACCTTATTGAGACATTATTTAAGCCAAGACTATTTATGGTCAATTACAGTTGACTAATTTTTGTTGCATTTTGAATCAATGTAAGAAAAATCCTGCTGAACAAAATACAAAGCCAATATATTTATTATTTAATATATGTATATTTATATTGTTTTATTTTTCTCATACAATAGTTGATACAAAGCTCTTAAAACTACATTTCTAGTTAGCACTACAAAAGTGTTTGGATATTAGTTTTATGTGTTAGGAAATATTATGATTTGTAAATCAATAGATGCCGTTTTTTCACACGTATATTTTATTTATTTTGCTTAATTTATCCGTGTTAAATGTGTTATAATCAGTCTATTAATATGTTAGTCTCCTTACTTAGTTTTTTTGTTTTTTATTTTGTAATTTGTATATTATCCAAAATATATGACTATATAAAATGACAAAGAATTTATATAAGAAAGTTATAAAATGCTGCAGATTGTAGTGGGAACTGTATATAATGTCCATTTTGGATTAAAATTAAGTTTTTTTTTTTCGTTATACTGCTTAACTGGTTCTTATGAATAAGAGAGCTGGCAGGGGCCATCGTCAAGGTGTATTTCAATTAAATACATATTAAACACCAATAGATTAGAAATTCCCCGAAAAGACAAACAAAAACTTCTATATTTTTGCAATTAGACTGGCATGTTCGGAAATTAAAAATGGAGTTTTAACGAAAAAAATAAATATTTTTAACAAAAAAAAAAAAAAAAAAAATGACAAGTCTTAAAATTTTTTATAAAAATAATTTTCAAAAAAAAGAAAATAATAATTTTCTTTTAAAAATTTTAAGGTTTTTAAATATTGTTTTTAAATTCTGAAACTCTTTCTACAAAAAAATAGAAAAAGTAGAGATTTGCAAAACAAAAAAGTAGAGATTTGCAAAATTTAACAAATTCATTTTACACAAAAATTTCAAAATTTTTATCATTTTATGAAAAATATTATTTTTTTATGAAAAAACAAGAATTTATAAAAAAATTTTAAAAAATATTAAATTTTAAAAAAGCAGTAATTTTATATTAATTTTATTTGCACAACATTTGGAAAAAAAAATGAATTATTCTATAATGACTATAAAAGGTTTTAATAACTTTTTTCAGAAAAAAAATTATAAAAAATATTTTTTAATAAAAAAAATATTAAACTTCTTTTAGAAATTAATTTGTTTTATTTGCACAAAAAGTTTAAAAATTCGAAAAAAAATATTTTTTTAAATAAAGAATATTAAAGGTTCTAATAACTTTTTTTCATAAAAAAATTATAACAAATATTTTTTAATAAAAATATTTTTTTATTAAATTTCTTTTAAAAATTGAATTTGTTTTAAATATTGTTTTTATTTGCACAAAAAGTTTAAAAATTTGAAAAAAATAATTATTTTATAAAAATTTTAAATGTTTTTATGATTTTTTTTCATAAAAAAATTTAAGAAATATTTTTTAATAAAAAATATTAAATTTCTTTTAAAATTTATTTTTTTATAGAAAAAAAATTAATGTAAAATTGAATTATTTTTATAAAAAAAAATTAATATTATTATAAAAAATTTTTATATATTTTATAAAAAATTAAATATTTTCATAATTATTTTTTATATAAAAAATTTAATTTTTTATAAAAAAATTCAATTTTTGCATAAAACATTATTTAAAAAAAAATCAAAAAAAGGTTCAAATCTTGAATATAGATACAAAATTTTATGAAAATATTTAATAAAAAGTTATATTTTTTACATAAAATGTCTAAAACTTTTATGGTAGTTTTAAAATTTGTTATGACAAATTTACCACTTTTGTAAAAATATTTAAGATTTTCGTGTTTTGAAAAAAATGTTAGATATCGAAGAAAACATGTCATTTTTTTAAAGAAAAAAAAAAAAAAATCCAATAAAGTATACCATTTTAGCTTTAAAAAGAATTACCAATTATTTAGAAAATCAAATCCCTTGCGTATATCCCTATCCAAAAGATAAACTTCTTCCGAGTCCAATGCCTTATCATCAGTTCGGCCATCATACTCATCATCTTCAGAGGTGGCTGTAGATGAGGATGAGGCCGACAATAAAAATTGACCCCTACCACAATTCTGCATTAAATTAGTTTTCTCCTCGCCATCCAAAAAACTATCAGTGTAGACAGCATAATTAACAATGCTGGCCGATGGTGGGGCCGAACTATTATTTGAGTTTAAAAATACCTGTATTATTGAAGAAGAATTCGATTTATTTGGTTTTAACTTGTTGGTATTGCTGGCTTGCTTTTCACTGTCAACACTGCTGCTGTTCGGAGATTCGATATTATTACTACTTTTGCGATTTTTCAGAATATCCATGCAGGGGCTGGTAATACTGCTCGGTTTGACAACACCACCACCACCACTTTTTTGGTGGACATCATTTAGCCGTGATTTTTGTAGATTCTGATTTAAACTTTTCTTTAGTTCACACTGTAGTCGCTGATAATTTAGCAGAGTCTTTTTGGACTCAGCATCCAACGGTTCTTGTTTGGTATCCTTGCTGCCTGGGAACAATGAGAGCTGCTGATGATTTCCAGTATGCCATGAATCCGAAAGATCCCCCGAAAACAGATGTAAATTTATTTGTGACTTGGTGCGATAACTAAATGGTCGCGAGTACTCATCACGAAAGCTGCCAATATTATCGTCTTGAATCACTTTCATTGCTACCGTTTGTATGGCAAATGTCCTTAAATCGCGACCATCAAACCCATATCCTTCGTTTTTATTATATTTGGCATCAAATTGTTTGTTCAGTGGAACTATGTCTTTGCAGTCTCTGCCACCACCATTATCTTTGTGTGCACTGAAGTCATTCAAGACTATGGCGGCCAAGGAATCGGTTGATGCATGACTTTTGCTAGAATTCGACTGGGGTGTAGTAAAGCTATCAAAATAGTGCAATGAAATTTCCGGCTTGATGAGCGTGTCGTTTATAATATCCGTCTGTTCATGATAGTTGAGACTATCCCATAATTTACCATAGTTCACTTTGGTGTCATTTATATCATGGTATATACGCTCTGCTATGGGATTTAATTTGGCAAAATATTCCTGCATTACATCTAGAGTATTCAATCGGCCTTGCTGTTGGAGGGAATCCTGAAATCCAGGCATACTAAGTGATGGGATAAAGCTGCCACTGTTTTGTAAAACGAGTATCCTTAATATCCCATATGGTTTTCACCGGCTGGACTTATTAACACCCGTCCGTATTTCTCTCTTTATCAACAACAAAGAAAGAATCCTGTGAATGTGTGTATGCATGTAGAATTAACCCATATCGCAAAGCCTTTCGACTTAAAAAAGAACGCCGTCACAACTGAGATCCCTAGATCCATTTGGTGAATAAATGCATGTGTATTTATTTGTGTTTCTTCTTTCTCTCTGTCAATGCAATTCATAAAGGAATGATACCCCGTTCTATAACACCAGAATGCTTATATATCACTTCTTTGTAACTACATCTATTAGGGAGCGAACCGTTATTTTCATTTTTAAAGTGCAAATATGAATCAACAATACACAATTTGATGTTAGAGATGAAATGTTTATTCCTCCTTAAATATAACATCCTGATTACATACCAAAAAAATAACAAGTACTTTTTTCCAACGATTTCACATGTACACTTAAATTAACGATAACTCATGAATGATGATCTGGAAAGTAAAGTTAAAATTAGCTTTTGGATTATTAAAAAAATTCGTCATGACTTACCCTCCAAATGCTGGTTTTTGTTGATTTGGAGGCTGTGTAGACTGAGCCAAATTGCCAAATGATAAGCCGGTATCAGTTGAGCCCAATGTTTCAAATATATTACCCTTTGAAACTCCAGTATTGGCTGCCGCACCAAAACCTGTGGTGGTGGGCGATGTCGTCGCAGCAGCTGCAAATGAACCAAATCCAGCTTTGGGACTGCCAAAAGTAGGAGCGCCTCCAAATGTAGGTTGAGCACCGAATGCTGGTGGGCTGCCGAAGGTTGGAGGTCCACCAAATACAGGTTTGGCAAATGCCGATTGTTGGGGTGAACCAAAGCCTGTATTACTGGCACCAAAGCCGCCAGCACCACCAGCATTGGGTGAACCAAAGGCTGGTGCATTTGATGTTTGTGAAAATGAGCCAAAGCCTGATGAAGCTGTAGCTGATCCAAAGGCTGGAGCAGAAGTTGTATTCCCTCCTCCAAATATTGAACCACCGGATGCCGGGCTATTTGCAGCATTTCCTGCGCCTCCAAATATTGATCCGCCAGAAGGTGCCCCAAAGGGTCCGGCTGATGAAGGTTGAGCTGCACCACCACCACCAAATATACTACCAGGGGAAGCTGCTGCCGGTGCTGCTGCAGCTGTTTGGCCGAAAGTACTCTTACCGAAAATAGAACCACCACTTGACGCCGATTGCTGAGTGGGAGATCCAAATATGTTTCCTCCTTCGGCAGGCTTTGCAGCGGCCGCACCACCAAATATTGAACCAGCCGTGTTAGCCGCTGAACCAAATGGGCTCGTAGTTGTGGCTGCACCTCCAAAAATAGAACCCCCTCCAGCTGCTGGAGCCCCAAAAGCTCCTGTTGTTGTGTTGCCACCAAATATACTACCTCCCGTTGTACCTGTTGGCTTGGTCGCAGCTGCAGCTGCGGCAAATAATCCAGGTGTTGGTGCAGCAGAGGCTGTTGCTGAACTGCCGAAAACAGATTGATCCGGTTTTGGTATACCACCAAAAATACTACCGCCTGTTGTTGGTTCTGCTGCCTTTGCACTACCTCCAAAAATAGAGCCAGTGCTTGGTGTTGAAGCAGTTGTGCTGGCTTGTGCTGTGGAGCCGAACAATGGGGTACTAGAAGTACCAGCATTAGCAGCAACAGCGCCGCCAAATATTGGCGTGGATGTTGTATTAGAAGTTGCCACAGTCGATGTCGCTGCTGCAGCTTGGGCAAATATTGATGAAGCACCGGTAGTTCCAAAAATGTTACCAGCTGTGGTAGATGGTCCAGTCGTTGTGGCAGCAGTGTTTGTTGTAGTTGTTGCAGAAGCAGAGGACGAAACGGAGAGAGCACCAAATAATGGTACATCTGCAGGTTTTTGATCTACGGAAGAAGCGAATGAAAATCCAGTTGCTCCTGTTGAAGTGGTTGTGGCTGTCGAGGAAACCGCTGAAATTGTTGTGGTTGCAGCTGTAGACGATGTCGTGTCGGTTGTAGAAGTTGGTTTGCCAAATAGATTTCCGGTTGTTGTACTATTTGTACCAAAAACTGGAGTTTGAGATGATGAAGCGGGGGTGGATTTGCCTCCATCAGTTGGCGCACTGTTTGTAGCAAAGGTAAATGTGGATGAAGTTGCTGCCGAAGATGATGTGGCAAACCCTGAAAAAATATTGGCCTGTCCCTTTGAGGCGTCGGATGGTTTTGCCTCAGGTTTGCAAATATTCAAAGACCCGAATAAGGAATCAGCCGGTGTTGTGGAAGTGGTTGATGTGGTGGCCTTAGGTGCAGCACTAGACGTTGGCAAGCCTGATGAGGTGATCGTAACATTTGGTGGAGCTGAACTAGTACTCGGTGTGGTTGTAGTAAGAGCTTTAGAGCCTGTGTTGCCTAAAGCAAGACCTCCAAATGTAAAACTAGATTTTACAGAAAAAGAAAAAGTAAAAATGGTTGATCGGTAAACAAAAATTATTTATTCTTACCCAGTCGTTGTTGTTGTTGTGTCGCTGGCGGAGGATACCTGTTGCTGCGTAGCAGATGTTTTTGTTTCTTCGGATTTGGCGCTGGCCTCAGTAGTTTTAGTAGTTGTATTTGCAGTTGCTGCTCCCGAAGGCAACCCACTAAAGCTAAATGGAGTATTGGAACCACCGAATGGTGTCGGTGAGGATTCAGATGATAAAGTTGCAAATGGTTTGGGGGTGGTTGTCAATGACAGACCAGAACCAAATGTTGACGAGGAAAACAAACCTCCCGAAGGGGCTGAAGAAACAGCTTGAGTGGCAGGTGTTGTTGCGGTCGTAGTTGTGGACTTTGCCCCAAATCCACCAAAAGCTGTTGGAGTAGCGGTTGCAGATACAGGGAGATTTGCAGAAGACAGGCTACCAAAACTAAAACCTTCTTTTTGGTCCTCCGGTTTTTTAGAACCATTTGAGGCATTTTTCGTTTCCGTTGTCAAATTGGCTGGTTTAGCGGTGGAGAACGAAGCAAAACCTTGATTAGTTAAACTATTATCGGCGCCGGAAGTTAAGACCCCTCCTCCTCCTATATTCGCCTTATTATTGGGATTGGAATTACCCCCAATGACTTTGGCGGAGAAAGAAATTGGCGTGGCGGCCACATTATTTTCTTTTCCTTCAGTATTTTGATTAGCTTTTATGGTTTGACCAAATGTAAGTCCGCCACCAGATGATGTGCCGCCAAAGGCAGAAAACGGCGATGACGCTGAGGTAGCAAGTTTTGGGGCATCATCAGATTTCAAGAGACCCGTTGACGTCTTTACAAAAGAGCTTTGACTGCCAAATGATAGAGTGCTTGAGGTGGCAGGATTGGGAGTTATAAACGGTGATGGCTGGCTTATATTGGGCAAAAGGGCGGGTTTCGAAGCTGTAGGTTTGGCTAAGAATGATTGTTGCTGTTGATTTTGCTGCTGCTGTACATTTTGTGGCGGCATTTGCTGGGAGGATTGCTTGATGCTAGTCTGTGCTACAGACTTTTGTGTAGATATTTGCGTGGACTGTTTTTGTTGTTGCTGAGCCTGAGCCTGTTTCTCTTTCATTTCTTTCTCTTTCTGTTTGCGTTCACTCTCAAGCTTAGTTTCCAAAATCACTTCGGATTTGAGGCCTACTCTATCGGGTCTTTTTGGTCTGATTATTGATATCTGCTGCTGTTGCTTGGTGAAATTACGTATTGCATTCAATTTACTTTCTGAAAGTTTTGAATGCGACTGGGAAACAACCTGTGATAGACTCATTGATAGTATGGAGTCAGCCAAAGATTCCATGGTACTGAAAATAAGATATGCATGAAGAAGGGCTTGAAAATGTGATTTCAAAATTTTACCTTTGATTTTTTGTTAACGCCCCAACAGCAGCTAATGTAACATCCTTATCACTACCTGGTTTATAGTTTAAACCCTTTTGCTTCAATTTACTTTTAATATGGTTCATCTTGGTGCGTTGGCGCGCGAGAAGATCTTTTAGTTTTGACATTCGTTGATAGATGCCATCCAAACAAGGTATATGCATTTGATTTTTTGTATTACGACGAACAACATCCTGGTATTGAGACCATTGGGCATCAATTAAATAGTTAACCTGATTCAGCTGGGTTTGATTTGTTGCTATAAAAGCCTGCAATTTTGCCAATTGACGTCGATTTGCGGGATCAGCAGTTGATGAGGAGGTTAAACGGGATAGACTGGGGAAAATTAAAATTTAATAAAAAAACTACTTTTATTATTTGGTCAATTTTCATGCACTTACTTGGGATTTTTGTACATATCCAATTTAGAACGACATTCAGCCAACATAGCATATGATTCATTCATCGAATGCCTCAAACTTTGTACATCTTGTTCGAATTCATGATCGTCTGCTTGTTCTATAATCTCTTGGAGATCATTTAGTTGTTTGGTATATGACTTGATTTCGTCCGGTGTACCAATCTAGGAGAAAAAATATTAAAAAAATTAAAAAATTAAAAATTAAAAAACGCGTTCGTACATTTTCCATTAGCTTATGGGTTTGTGTTTGTATCTGCTTTATCTCCAGGTCAAATGCCTCGATTTGAATTGCTATCATCTGCTTAACTACATCATCTATTTCGCCAACTTTCATATTGACTTTTGCCACAGGCGTTGTAGGTTTGTTAGATTGGACAGCTTGAGGTGCCTTAAAGGTGGGCGGAACCGTATACAAAGGTTGGTTCGCCTCACTTTTAGGTATATTTTTATCTGTGGCAGCTGGAAGTGACGTTTTTTCAGCTGCCGCAACTAAGAAGAAAAAAAAAATTGTATGAAATGTAATTAACTAAATTTATAACTTTGGCATACCTCCAAAACCACTTTGACTCCCTGCGGAAGCACCAAAACTGGGTACAGCTGCTTGTGTTCCAAAACCACTTTTAGGTGCTAAAGATGAGGTCGTCTGTTGTGGCATAAAAGTGGTGGTGCTGCCCGTACCAAAAGTCATTCCTCCTGTGGCAATTGGTGCGGTAGATGTACTTGTTTTAATTGTTGTTGATTGAGCTCCAAAACCCATTCCTATGCCACCTGGTTTGGATGAAGCATTTGCCAGTCCTCCAAACATGGGCACAGGCTTGTCTTTCTAAAATAAAAGATTTGAAATATTTAAATTAGTTTCTTCATTTACACTCCTAAAGGCAAGACACTTACTATGGCTGGCGTAGATGTGACCATGTTTGAGCCCAACGTGAAGGTCATGTCACCAAAACCAGTTCCGCCAGTTTGTGGTGCAGCCATTGTATTTCCTCCACTTGTTTTTTCACGACCCTGTGTCTTTTGTTCACTTGGTTCGCTGGCTCCACCGGACAAAGTTTCATGTAAAGGTTTAAAATCTCCCGATGTATCATTTAATGGCGGTGGTGGAGAACAAACTCCCACAGCATTGGGTGATAAGTTCAAAAAATTAAACGACACCAAATGCCCATGTGTGGAAAGAACATGTATCATAGGCATTACAGGTAACATTTGTTCTCCCATTTTTGTTTGATGCGATGAGGCCGTATCGAAAACAAAGCCCATGGGAAATGTTTCATCTTTTGACTCCGTTAAAGGCATTTCTATGCGAGCTTCATCTAAAAGAGTATATTGGATCCAAGTGGGATTTTCTCCAGTCTCTTTGGTGCCCAAAATACCAACTTCTACGCCATTGGCTGAGGAAACAAGTAATAAATTCCACTGTGATATGTGATTAAATGTTAGCTGTTGAGTTCGTGGTCCCGGAGCACTATAACAGATGTCATAATAATTGATATAGGTTGGATTTCCTGCTTTCGGTGCATTCACAATAAAGAGTGAGGGGCACACATCTTCGCCTTTTTGTAGAAATATTACAGCAAATTGAAATGTAGACAGCCAATGGACAGCAATACAATCAAACGGTCCAGGATGTATTCCTGGAGGACAGGGAATGGCACGAGCAGGCTGTAGGTTGGGTTTAAATTGTTGTAATTTACCATCGGAAAATCCAAAAACTATTTGCTTTCCCTTGGGTGACCAACAGCCCGATTTAACTTGATTTTCTTTGCCCAAAGTCACTTTGTCATAATTGCCACCTGGATTCAGAGTAAACATGGTTACTGAACCATCGCTTAAGACCAAAGCAATGTTATTCGCAATAACGGGATTCCACAGGAGTTGCAGAGCAAAGACATAACTCTCGGGAGCCACGGGGACATTGTAAATAGCATTTACGTTCTTTAAATAAAAAATGATCAGTTATTGGACATTTAATGGGTCTATGGTTTCTTACCGGCGTCAAGAAACAGTCAACCTGATATATTTGCAAAAATCCGGTATTATTTTGCATGTAATTAACAGCCAACATTGAACCGTCACAACTGCAAGCCATTGCCTTGGGTTCGCCCTGCAAGGGTATAACACGCACGGGAAGATCTTTGCCATTGGCCTTGTAATCGATAATGTCCTTTAATTTTGTAACTACAAATAAAAATGTTTTGCATTTGTTTGTGTTTATTTATTTTGTATTGTGTACTGTCCCCACTTTCCCCTCCTACCTTTTAGTTCCTTGGCATTCGGATTGCCGGCAAACAACAGACCCTTGGTGGACGATACCGCCAATAGACTAACTAGGCTTTTCAATTCTTTGCCTTCGGGAAAAACTGGAAATTTTCCATGTAATTTAAATTGTATATCCTGAAGAAATGAAAGAAAATATGTTTTTAAAACGTAGCCTTAAAATAATGAAACAAGGAAGCACGCCATACCGCGGTACTAGCCTATTGTAAGTTTTACCTGCACATCTACTGAAGCCGGTGCATTTTGAGCCATGTTGTTCAAATTTTTCTTAAATATACTTTTTTACTTTCACAAATATTTTTTTTACAAACTACTAACAAAAGAAAGAAATAATTAAATAATTAACTTTGCGCAAATGTTCGCAATTTCCCCTCAGCATGCACAAACGGCGTTGTCTGCTAATCACCAAAAAATGATAACTTATGTTTTCGGTTCTACCATGGCAGAAGAATACAGGTAGATGCATCAACGCTTGGGAGCATTGATATGTCAAAAAAAATTTTAAATGTTTTTTTCAAATATAAGTAGATTTTTATATGTTTTCTTATACTACGTCATTCGGACGTTATTATAATTCGTGTTTTTCAACAATTTTTACAAATTCAATTATTTTTTCATTCAACATTTGCAATTCCAAAATTGGTTTAACAGTTCATTGTCCCAGCAGCTGTGTCGATGCGCTCTTACCAACTTACATATTTGTTTGACGTTTGGTTTGTCATCACACAAACAAAACAACACACCTATTGGGGGGCCAAACAAGCAAAAAAAAAAAAAAAAAAACAAAGGATTTAAGGCGCAATTTTTCGGAATTTGCTGAATTAAAGATAGGAAGGAACAATGTACTCCGGCCAGTGGGCAAAGCAACAAATTAAAGTCATTACATATCTATGGCGGAGACAACAGCTGAGAATGTTAAATGAGATGCGAAGCCACGTTCTTGGAGGCGGTATGGTGGCCACACTTCAAAAGGATCTTTGCTTACCTAAAAACAGCTTGTGTGCGACACAACGATTCCTTAGTTCCAGCAGGGAACAGCAAGACAAATATGTTCCGAAGGAGGAAGCCGTAAACCACGAAGATGATGATATTCTTTCACAAAATCTAAATTTTAAACAGATGATGATGTACAACGAGGAGGATGATATAATAAAAAAGTTAAATGCCTGTGAAACATCCGAACAGGTAAATGGTGCAATTACTTTACCCAACATATCTTACAATCCAATATAGTTGTTAAACGTTTCAGAAGCTTCACTGGGACAAATGCAAAAGGAGCATGTGGTCCAAACCATTGTATTACTGTGGATGTTTAGAAGACTGAATGATGTGGACAATCACAGAAGTATATTGGATAAAATTGAGCCACTTTTGATGCAGTATGTCGAGCAATTGAACGTCAATGAAATAAGTACTTGCTATTTGTATATACGCAAAATGGGGGAGGAGAATTCACATCCATTGTTGCAAGAATTGCTGACGAGAGCCCTGAATTGTGTAGAAAATTCAGATGTGGTCGGTCTGCCGGCCCTGTCACGACTCATTGTGGGTATTAATGCGGGACGCAACTTTTTCACACCAATGCTGTGTGCAAATTTCATAAGACATCTTCATGCCCATGTGAACCAATTCTGTACTGACGATGAGGCTCGCATGATAGCTATAATTATGCTCAATTTACAACCACTCATTGATGATGGGCTGATGTCAGTGTTTAAGCAACGTGTTAAGACACTTATTGACAATGGAGAAATCTCCGCCGCCAAACCAAAGACAATAATAAAAATATTGAATATGTTAAATATGGCAGTTTGGTCCAACAGACACATGGATTTAATCAGAGATCTTTTGCTAACCATTAAGCCGGCCATAAACCAATTGGATGCCAATGATTTGAAAATAATTAGCCGTATATATCAATATCACATGGAACCAGCCTGTTTACAAGAACCTTTATCACTGGCATTGGAGGAGCTTTTGGCCACTCACATGTCCCCCGAAACCTTGGCATGTTATGTACCCTTTTCACAGCCCAATAAACGGGATACCCTTACCAATGCCTTCAAGGCCCTTTTGGCATCCGCCGACAGTTGGAAACAGACAAATGCAACTGGATTTCTATTTTCAATTCTAAGATCATTGAAAATATCCGATACAAAAGTATGTAATGCCTACTGGAATGGTGTGCTAAATGAACTGAATGCTGTGCCAGATAATGAGACGCATACAAGTTTCCTAAAACACTGTCATCGTTATATGAATTTCAATAACAATTTGGGTGGAACTTATAGACATATGGCTTTGGAAAAGAAACTCTCACAAATGTGTATGAGGGCCATAGAACATGATGTGTCGGGACGGATTCCTTATATATTTGCTCGTCTAGCTTCATTTGTGCTGGCCTATGGTCATACGCCGTATAGTTGGAAGAAATATCCAAATATTATATTGTCAAAGATCATAAATATGGCCGATCAGTTTACAGTGGCAGACTGTTTTTTGATCAGTAGGGGTCTAAGAATATCCCTGGAAATGAGGTAAGTTTGTGGAATTAAATTTTGTGTTCTTTGCTAACATTTATGCTCTTCTCTATTTTAGGTACCGATATCAAACACCACAACTGGCCAACATGCAGCTGGCCACCATAGACAGCGTTTTGACAAGCTGTGCAGATAGGGTATTGGCAGACAATCAATTGAACACAAGCGATCTCAATGCCCTGGTACGCATGTTAAGCAATAGAAAAAGTAAGTGAATGATACAATACGCAGACATTTCACATATATTCCCCCCTTTCGCTGCAGCCCTTCAAAACAGTGTGGTGTATCATAAAACCCTGCAGAAATACAAAGAAATCCAATGTGAAGATTTGAATTCTCGTATCATGAGAGATATGTCGTATAATTTCCTGGCAACCAATTACATTGTACCTGAAGTATTAGAAGTCATGTTTAAATATGTACAAAATCACTATGAACACATATTGGGGGAGACAGTGGAGAAGTTATTATCATGTGCCTATAATCTGGGCTATACACCAGAGTCCTACGAATCGCTGGAATATGCTGGTTTTATATTGCTAAGGTGAGGAGGCTTTTGGTTTAAGTTAAATTGAATGATAATCAAATTCTTTTGTAGAGATTTCAACTACATGAGCGGCTTGTCATTGGTACAGGCCTGCCTGGCCCTGTGCTATTACAAAACAATACCCGAAGAACTAATCAATAAAGTGTTTTGTGTGAAATTTATACAACGTGTGGAGGATGAAATACAAATGTGTTACTCCAAGGTAAGTGGTAAATGGAGGTTTTAAAAACTATAATTAAAAAAATATTTTTTTTTCACAGGCCACATATCCGGAGAGAGTACTTAATATTGTAATGCAACTTAACCGCAGTGTTTGTCTGGATTTTCCCGAAGCAAATGTTCCATGGTTCCAGCAGAATTTCATTGAAGCACAAATGAGCAAAAGTAAGTCCATCAAACGACTATAAAAATCATTTTTGTAGAAGTGTTAGCTAGAACTTTGTTCGTTTATTTGACCTTTGAAAAACGTATTTGCATTCTTTCAGGACCTTTTGTCGAGACCCCTTTCAATAGTGATGTCAAAAATCTCCTAACAACTGTACTTAAGGATGAATCCTATTTCCGCTGTAATCATACAACACCCTATGGTTATCAGGTGGGTTAAGAATGGGATGTTTATAGCCATTAAAAATATAAAAAATAATTTCTTTCTTTCTTCAGATTGATTTTGTGATAAATTTCGATAAAAACAGAACACCCCTACAAGCACCGGCTGAGACCACCATGTTGGATCGCATAACCAAGTAAGATCCATCAATTATTAATAGATTTCATTTCATTATCAAATTCTATTTTCTAGAGTTGCAATATTGTTGCTTAAACTGGATTCTTTTTGTGCAAATGACTTGAATGCCTTACGCGGCCCAGATTCCCTGAAAATCAAACATTTAGAAATGATGGGCTACAAGGTGTTGCACATCAACGAACATGACTGGAACTCAAAATACATGAATGCACCGGGGGCCAAGACGAAATATCTGAAATGCCTATTGCAAATATCAAATTGAAAACAAAAAATATGTTGTCTAAATTATTTCCATAATCTTAGTTAATTCTTATGTTGTTGTTTAAATGTATAGGTAAAGATAATGTTTTTTATTGTTATGATAGCTGAGAGCAAAAGAAAAAAATATATTGTACAAAAAAGTGTTTCTTTGTTGACTGTCAGTACAGCGTCGCTTCGGCAGCATCACTCTAACTTGTACACCATTCGTAGGCCGTGTTGAACATAACCTGCCATGGACTGGCTTGGCTCTTGACATTGAAACCAGGTGAAACATATGGCCATTGATACATGGCATGACAACGTTCTGGATGTGGCATCAAGGCCAAATGACGACCATCTTCCGAACACAGACCAGCTATGCCCTCGGTACTGCCATTTGGATTCATGGGATACGTTTCTGTAGCCTTACCATCATCATCAACATAATGCAGAGCAACACATTTTTGTTGTTTCAAGTTGTTTAATATGCCAGTTTCACGGAATGAGAAGCGGCCTTCTCCATGGGCCACCCAACAACCCAATACGGAACCCTGGAGTTTACTTAACATCATGGCCTTACTGTTGGCCACGCGCACACTGGACCAACGACACTCAAAGCGTTCCGATTTATTGTGCAACAGGGCCACATCTGGTTTGGATATGACTTCTTGTTTGGAGGTATCATTGCTGGTTCCCACCCAACCAATTAAACTCATCAATTGACAACCATTGCAAATGCCCAAAGAGAAGGTTTCTTGGCGTTTTTTAAATGCTGAAAATTGTGGAGCCAACAGGTCGCTGAACATAATGTTTGCTGCCCAACCCTTGGCCGAACCCAAGGTATCAGCATAACTGAAACCACCGGGGAAAACGAGACCACGATAGCGATCCAATGTTGTTTTGCCTGAAAGTAAAAAATCAATTCAAAAAATTCTAATCCCAAATAAACATCATCTTCCAAACTTACCACTCAACAAATCCGACATGGTTACATCGTGGACATCAAAATTAGCTTTCATCAGGGTAGCAATCATTTCACGATCACTGTTCACCCCCTCTTCGCGGAGCACAGCAACAGTCACCGTTTTGGCGGCTCGTTGCAAGACCAATTCCGAAGACAAATCTACGGGACACTCATATTTGGGACCCGTACGATATTCCAACGTATTGAACTCCTCAATGGCACAGTCGGCATTTGCCTGCAGCTTTTCCAATTCAAAGCTAATACGTTCCCATTGTTGGAACAATGTCCTTACGGTGTTTTTAATCAACGTTTTTCCATTTGCCGTCACTTTAATGGTCTTATCCAAACCAAAGGCCTTGGGTTGACCAATTAAATAATTTGGAACATTTAGCCCACTGAACCTCTGTTGAACTTCCGATGCATGTTTTGTCTCAACTTCCAACACCCAGCCACATTCTTCAGCATAGAGTACAGCCAGTTCTGGGTGTGTTTTCGCTGATGAATCAACATTTTCCAATGATATACGGCTCAAAGCATCTGTGAGATCCACATCTAAGCCAGACAAACCAGCAAATGCCATTTCAAGTACACAAACAAACAGGCCACCTTCACTGATATCATGGCCGGCCAATAATTTTCCCTCGCCCAGCAATTCTTGGGTAACATTAAAGGCATTTACCAAAATTTGAGAGTTCAACAAATTAGGGCACTCATTGCCCTGTTGACCATAGGCCTGGGCCAGAGCACTGCCACCCAAACGGAATTTATTTTCAATATTGATCCAAAGCAAGACAGTATCCTTTCCCTCAGCAGGTCCCTTAATGTCTGGTGTTACCTTGACACTAACGTCGGGGCAAGGGGCGTAAGTGGAAATAACCAATGTACCAGGTGATTTAACTGTTTGGCGTCTCACCTTCGCTGCCATGGAAAGAGAATCTTTGCCACCATCAACAGCAATTCTCAGTTCTTTCATAATGCTGCACATTTCCTTACAGGCATCAAACATACGAGCTCCCTCGCCGGGCAATTTTGCAGCCCACATCCAATTTCCGGAACACTTAACATCAGCCAACTCTGTAATCTTTACAAAAACTAAATTCGACAGGGCCTCCGCCACACTCATGCGAGCCATGGCCCCCGCATCCAACAATCCCTTAATGGGTTGGGTACCCAACGACGTTGCAATACCTTCCTTGCTAAAATGCGACACCGTCACCAAACCAAAATCAGCCAATGGCGTGTGCAATGGTCCCACACATTGTTGTTGGGCAATTAAACCGGTCACACAACGATCAACCTTGTTGGTCAGATAACGTTTACTGCCCACAGATACCAAACTTAGAACCAATTCCAAGCTCTTGGCCACGTCGAAATTCTTGTCAAACTGTAATGGAGCCAAATTATTGGTAATACGTTGTAATTGATATTCCCGTTTGGGCATATCACCCAAGACATGTTTCAATTCCAGGTCAAATGGCACAGGTCCCAACTGTGTACGATCAAAGTTTTCATTGAGCACCTTTTCAAAATCAGCATCACTTTCAATTAGAGTAACACGACCATCTCCCGTCACAACACCCACAAAACTGATGTGGCAACGTTCTCTTTTACATATACTCTCCAAGAGGGAACGATCCTCAAATTTGCATAGAATTGCATCGTTTTCTTGGTACTCAGCACCCCAGAGTTCCAGGGCATTAATTGTGGGATCACCAAGTTGGAATTCTTTGGAAAAGATGACGGCGCCAGCAAAACCAGGCTCAACCAATTCTTTTAAAACATTGCCATTGCCGCCAGCACCCTGCAAAAGACATATATTTGTTATAAACTTAAATAAATATACCATATTTCCAGCCAACCAACCTGATCGTGTATGGCAATAATGGGATTATTTTCGCCCATTTCAATACAGGCCCTCACAACACGATTTAGTTTATTTTCCATTTCGGCATCACCTCGTTGCACGGCATTAAAATCCAGCGAAGAGTCATTGGAACCTTGTACCTCAACGGAGCTAGCAGCACCACCGCCCACACCAATGCGATAAACTGGACCACCAATCTTTGCCAGGAGCATGCCTAAAAATTTCCAAATCAAAATTTAGCAAACCAATTTAAAAATTATTAAATTTGTCTTACCTTTTTTGGGATCATATTTCTGACGCATGCTAGATTCCATGGTACCCATGCCACCACTAAACATGATTGGTTTTACATACTCATCCCGCTCGCCCTGGGCATTAGTTAGGCCATAGGAGTTAACGAAACCCGTGATGACTGGTTCACCGAATTTGTTGCCATAGTCTGAGGCCCCATTACTTGCTTCGATCAAGACTTTGAGAGGTTTGGCAAACGAGGATGGGTACTCGTAGGTGGCATTCTCATAGGGTTGGGAAAATCCTGGAATGTTCAAACAGCCAACACAATAACCAGCCGTACCGGCAATTGGTATACCACCTCTGCCAACACCTTGAACATCTCTGGAAATAAATAAAGAAACACATTAAAACAAGCAGATTCAAAGTATGAAGATAGAAATCGCAATACCTCAAACGACCACCAGTGCCAGTGGTGGCGCCGCTAAAAGGTGCCACAGCAGTTGGCATGTTATGCGTTTCAGCGGTGAAAATTAAATCATTATCGACCGTTACCAATGACATGGGACCGGGTCCATCAAAACATTGAGGTCGCACCGTCACATGTTTAAAGCCTCGAATGGCACTGCTGTTGTCACTGAACTTAATGGTGTTATTTTGATTCGAGTTATTCTGTGTATGCATTATCATGCGTATCAACGACTGTGGTTGTTCCACACCATCAACAATCATTTTACCGCGGAAAAACCAATGACGCGAATGTTCACTATTACTTTGGGCACAATCGAACAACTCGACTGTGGTTGGATCTCTGCCGAGAATATTCTTGAAAAGATTCGTATAATAATCCAAATCCCAATCACCAAAAGCCAGACCGAGCTTAGCATTAACTTCCTCCAGCGCTTTGCGGCCCTGTGCCAAAACCGGTACTTTATACCAAGATTCTTGCGAATGTGGCAACTGTTCGTTAAAACTGTTGACCGGCAAGTTATCCTTGGTGTAACGACATTCGGTCATACGATCACTGAGTAATTCAACTAATTGTTCAACATTTGGTTGGGCACCGGTAAAGCCGATCAAATAACGATCGGAGGCTTCTAGCCGAGTGACTTCATCCAGACCCACATTTTGACAAATATTAACGCAGTTCGTTGAAAATGGTGTAGAGAAATTAAAACGTGGTCCAATTTCTATTAGAACAGTTTCCTTGTTCTCCTTGGGCAGCTGGGATGCTTCGCATAAACTCTTTTCTTCGCCCTGAGGATGCTTCAGCAACCATTTAAGTAAATTTTTGGATTTTTCACCCAGAGATGTGGTTGTTTCCACGTGATAGCATTTTTCCACTTGCACGGAATTAACGTTCGAAAAATTCTGTTAATTGAAAAAAAAAATGAAAATTATAATTTAAATTAAAAATATCTTTTTTAATTAATTTAAATTTCAGATTCAACCAAAAATTAAATATACTCACAAAATAAAATTATTAAATCTTTAAAAAAATATTTAAAAAAAAAATATTCAGTTCCAGCTTCACATGGCTTTTTAATACCGGAAAAATTCAAAAAATTCTTTTGATTGAAAAAAATAAAATTTAATTTGAATTAAAAATAACTTTTTTTATATTTTTAACTCACAAAATAAAATTATTAAATCTCTTCAATACAATAAATACCTAGGTTTAGTCCCCCAGTGAAAAAAAAATATTCAGTGCCAGCTTCACATGGCTCTTAAATACACCTTGGCGACACAATAAATCAATTTGATATGATGCGACAAAAACATGTCTCATTCCAAAAGAAAATTGAATCTCAGACTATTATATAACACCAATGCTTAATATGTTCTTCAAAAGTGTTGATTAGATATCTTCCTTTAAATACACAGATGCAAACATGCATGTATATAATTTACATAATTTACTCACCGCTTTCAGTAGTTTCAACAACTTCAGACGATGGACCTCATCACAGGCCTCGGTTGTAAAAAAACGAATTATGGCCATTATACGGTCTTGCTTCTCCAATAGATTAGTATGTAATAAATGCAATCAAATTTGAATCGTCAACACTCCGCAGCAGTCGCCTACCAACTGTTGATTTAATTCGATGGAATATGGATCGATGGCAAGTAACCTACACAGTCTGGCGATACAAATTTCAAAAACAAAGCTAAGCATATGTATGTTTTGTAATTATATATGTATGTATAGTACTTACGAACAGGTTTGTCTGTCTGTCTGTCTGTACGTTCTACGCTGCTTACTTGTTACTGGGCTTCCTCTACGATTCCTTGCTGGGGGTTATCAGTGTTTTACAGACGTAAATACTTTATTTATTATTTGCATCCGAGGAGGAATAGACTACCGATTGAAGATGCACAAACAAGGCTATATGTAATGTAAAATTAAACATGTTATTATAATTGTTGTTATTATCAATTTGCCAAATGATAAGAATATACAAATACTTTTTTAATCCGCCATAAATACCTTAACTTGACTTTGTTTTTCAATACAAAACATCCCAATCAAAGGAAACAGATCATGTCGATGACTTTTATTTGATTAAAATCAATAAAATTAATTTAATTTTACGATATAAGATCCAAAACTACCGCACACCAATTTGCCGGCCTACACGTGCTATGCTTGCTGCTTTTTGAATTAACTTGTTCCCCCTCTTTCATAGTGGTGCTCAAGAGCATTTATGCTGGAAAAACTCTCTCTCTCTCGCGCTCTCTTTTTTTCTGTGGGGGCCATAGGCCCCATTTACACTGGGGGACAATTATTGCATGGAAATAAATAACAAGTGTTGCCAGTATGAAATATTTTGGTATTTATTCTTTCTGGTATCTGTGTAAAGATCTAATAAAAAGACCTTTTAACTCAAAATATTAAAATACCATAATTATATAGGTGTGTCTGGTTACCCTAAAATTTGTAACAATTGTTACTGGAAGTCGTCTGTTAACCCAAAAGTTCTGCAAAAGAGAGCGGTTGGAGAGAGAAATTTTGACAGTTGTTTCAGTGAGAGTTTGCAAATTCTTGCTGGACAAATTTCTTCTTGCAATCACTTGCAACTCTTCTTCTTCTCATTCATGGACATTCAATCAGATGTTTTCTATTGTTTGTTTACCTTTTTCTGCTTTCAAATTAAAAATATTTTTCTTATAAGAAAATAAAAGACTATTTCCAAAATTTTCAAACAAACACCATTAGCAACAAGTTTAAAAGAATTCCGGGGAACAGATCAAATCTACTTTCTTTCTTTTATTGCACATATTTTTAGTTTATTGCTAATTTCCTTTTAATTTGTAAAATTTGTGCTTCCCTTCTTTTAATTCTTTGAATGGGGACAAATTGGTTTGTTTTGACAAATCAGCTGATTAGTTGCAAGCTTCTGCAGGAATACCGTCTGTTAACTTTTCGCATTTTCCTTGCAAAAGAGAATAAAACTACCTCACTCTCTCAGAAAGAAGTTGCTGGACAATTCATGCAGGAAAAGTAACTAGACACACCTTTTATTGTTAATAATCTGGAAAATAAATAATTATTACAAATGTTAGGTGGTTTTAAGCCAAAAAAATATTATAGCCTTTTGTTACTTCCCTTAGCTGTCATTCTTCTGATGTGATGTATTGACAACACTTTTTCTCCTAACTGTTTCCTTCTTTAGTTGTCGTTTGTTTTAATATGGGCCGGTTGTGCCTCGATCTTTATGGCAGTAAATAGTTTAATTTGAGCCATAAGTACATTATTAATTAACGGGAAAATTGTGAAATATCATAAATTTGATCGCGGTTACAAATATGATTGTAAAGTAAATTCGGTTTCGATAGTTATTTGTTGCAAAAAGTTGTATTCTTGTTTCCCTCCAAAAAGATTGTCATTTATGTTGTTGCTTCGCTTATGAGAATAAGTTTATGCGTGTGTGTTCGTGAGCGAGATGACCGAATACTTGTCATTTATATTAACGGCTATCGGTTGTGCCGCGGTCTCTGTGGAGTTAAAAAAATTAATTTATGAAACAATTGTGTTGTTAATTATCGATAAAATAATAAATTATCATCAATTTGATCGCCTTTAATTATATAAATGTGAAATAAAGTGGATGTTAAAAGTAATTCGTTGTTTCCCTCCAAAAAGATTGTCATTTATGTTGTTGCTTTACTTACGAGAATAAGTTTATAAGTTCGTGAGCCAGATAGTCGTACACTTGTCATTTATATTAAAAGCTATCTGCTGTGCATCGGGGATCTCGTTAGTGTTTGATAATTTTATTTAAATAATTAAAATTCGTTTTTTATTTATCGGGAAATGTTTGAATTATAATCCAATTGTTAAAGTTTAAAAATGAAATTGTAAAATTATTGCCATTTTTTAAATGTCATTTGTTGGAAAAACGTTATTTTTCATTTCTCCAATAAGATTCCAATTGATGTTGCTCGTTCGTTTATCATGAGTACGGTTGCGGGAAAGAAAAGAATGAGAAAAGTGTCATTCATTGCCCAATGTGATTTTAATATGAAGATTTTTATTTTTAATTTTATAAATAATAATCGGATAAAAAAAATTATCTCAAAAATATTTTCCGCTGGAAGTCCAGCCTCTATGGAATTGCTCTGTGCGTGTGATAGATAGAGTTTTCTGTGTGGTTTCTGAATTTTGCCAGAAGAGTCGATTTGTGTTTCTTCGCATCAAAGTGTTTCAAAAATAATTTAATATAAAAATGTGGTTTGTGTGAAATACGAGTTGTTAGTCTCAATGCTGATTTATATCAGAATCCAATCAACACAAGGAGAAATGAGGTGGCCAGTGAGGAAGGTGCGTTTTTAACCATTTTTTATATAAATAGTTGTTATATTTCTATGCATCTGAATAATTACCTGGTTTTATGAGAGTTTAAGAAAATACCAGGAGCTACGTTTAAAATTGAATTTACTTACTCCATTCAAGCTTATTAGTCTCGGACCAATATCAATCTTTACACCTATTTTTTTCTTAAGCATTTTGTACTGCAGATTTTAATAAAAATAATTTGCATTTTTCATTGGGTAAATACAATCGTAGGCTCACACAATAATTTAGTAGGAGCGTCATAATTGTTTTATTTTTTTCTCGAGTCTGTTTTTGTATCTTTAGACCCCTAATCTTAGTTGTCGTTTCGATCTATGCAACTCTATATCAATCGGCCTTTCTGTTTTGATTCTACATCTTTATTTCCACTTTTCTTATGTCCCTTCTTTTTCATTTCGATAACGCGCTTTCGATTTATCGGTGATATCGTTTGAGTTTTTTATGCAGTGTCGTCGTCGTCGGAAGCGTCATTGCTGACTTGGTGACAATGGACAGAATGGACAGGAAGGATCTTCAGGAAACTAGTAACAATTTACCGGATAAAACTACATCGAAAAATGCCAGCACAAATTCACTGGACACAGATTCAAAATCCAGTTCGATAGGCTCCAAACATGGCAACGAGACTGGGTCATCAAAAGACACGCCCTTTACCTATTTGGAGGGTGAAGAAGATCAAGACCAAAAGAATGATGTTACCTATGTCTGTCCGTACCGGGGTCCAGCCTATGGGGCACTGACAATAACCAATTATCGTTTGTATTTCCGTTCATTGCCGCTCAGAGATCATGAACCGCCTGTGGTTGTGGACATACCGTTGGGCGTTATTGCTCGTGTGGAGAAAATCGGTGGAGCCTCCTCGCGAGGCGAAAATTCATATGGTATTGAGATATTTTGCAAGGATATGAGAAATTTACGTTTTGCCCATAAGCAACAGAATCATTCCCGTCGTACAGTATTTGAAAAGTTGCAGTCGTATGCCTTTCCCTTGTCCTACAGTGGCAAGTTGTTTGCTTTTGCCCATGCAGCAGCCATTGGCAGCTCCGCGGCTGGAGAAAATGGTTGGAATGTGTATGAGCCATTGGCAGAGCTAAGGCGTTTGGGTGTGCCCAATGATATGTGGAGAGCTACGAAGATTAATGAAAATTATACGGTATGCGATAGTTACCCAGCCGTGTGGGCAGTACCAAAACAGGCATCAGATGATTTCTTGAGGCGGGTGGCTCAGTTTAGGTCACGCTGTCGTTTGCCCGTTCTGTCGTGGATGCATCCCCGCTCTCAGGCCACGATTACCAGGTGTTCCCAACCTTTGGTGGGAGTGGGTGGCAAACGCAGTGCCGACGATGAACAATATTTGAATTATATTATGGAGGCAAATGCCCAATCGGACAAGTTGGCCATCATGGATGCCCGGCCCAGTGCCAATGCCATTGCTAATAAGGCCAAGGGTGGAGGCTACGAATCGGAGGAGGCATATAAAAATGTTGAAATTCACTTTTTGGATATTCATAATATCCATGTGATGAGGGAAAGCTTGAGGAAAGTAAAAGAGGTATGCTACCCCACCATTGATGATTCGAAATGGTTGTCATCCATTGATAACAGCCTGTGGTTGAAACACATCAAATGTATATTGGCCGGTGCGGTACGCATTGTTGACAAGGTAGAGACAATGAGTACTTCCGTGGTGGTCCATTGTTCGGATGGTTGGGATCGTACCGCCCAATTGACTGCCCTGGCCATGTTGCTGTTGGATCCATATTACAGGACTTTGCGGGGATTGGAGGTACTCATCGAAAAGGAATGGCTTTCATTTGGCCATAAATTCCAGCAACGTATTGGCCATGGAGACAATCGTCATTCCGATGCCGATCGCTCGCCGGTCTTTTTGCAATTCATTGATTGTGTTTGGCAGGTGTCCCAACAATATCCCAATGCTTTTGAATTTAATGAACATTTCCTTATAACCATTATCGATCATTTGTATTCGTGTCGTTTTGGTACATTCCTCGGCAATACGGAATATGATAGGGTGCAGGAAGGTGAGTTTTGTTGATGATTGTTATTTGAATTAAAATATTCTAATGGCTACTTTGTTTTGTTCGATACAGATCTTAAACACAAAACAATATCGCTATGGACCTACATCAACTCGTCGGTGGATCAATATTTGAATCCGTTGTATCCCTCGTTTACACAGGGTGCCCAAACTGTGTTGCGTCCCATTGCAAGCATGCGTATTGTCAAGATATGGAAGGGACTCTATTGCCGCTGGAATCCCAGTATGCGACCACAAAATAAAATCTATAATCGCACAAGGGAACTGTTGACCATGCAGGAACAGTTGGTAAAACAGGTCACCGAGAAACGTCTGAAGGCCAATATGCGCCAGACCACACAGGCGGCATCTCGCCTGGCTTCTCCAATGCATTAGATAGGGGAATTTTATGATTATTATTATTATTTTTTTCTTGTAATTTGTTGGAAATTTAGAGATAATGCCTTCTTTTTTATTAGAATTTTTTAGATATATTTATATTCTTTTTTTTTTCGCGTGTGAGCATATATACATATGTATAATTAAGTATTTTTCGAAAATAAAAACTCAATATAGAAAAAGTTGATTTGAGTTTTAGCAGAAGAAGGATGTTTCTGGAACAGAACAAAGCCATAAGACAATTTTTTCAAGGCCAAAATCATGGATTTTCTATTTTTTTAAGGATCAACATAGCAACACATTTGGAGTATTTAGAGAATTTTTTTTTGGCATTCATACTGTAATTGTTAGCTACGTCTGTGACTGCATCAGTATGAATGCTATTCAGACCCGGTTGAAAGGCTGCATGATATAGAGGATTTTTTATATCGCTGGATCTGTCTCTCTAGATCATGCAGGTTCTTCCTGACTCGCCTGGGTGGGGGTGTTCTGTCCACCATATGGTCGTTAGGATGACTCCCATGATAACACCCAAGCAGGTACTGCAACGAAAGCATGCTGACATAAGGGAAGAACCTTCGTCTCCTCATGTAAATGGTCCACGGGAGTCATGAGGAGGCACCCTGCTGCAGTTCTCAGGGCGGCATTCTAACAGATCTGAATACTTTTTCCACTGCGTTGCACTTGAATTCGCAGACCACATAGCTAAACACAGACCGACCTATCGCTTTATAAGAGATAAACAAGGTTTCCTTATCCGCGCCCACGTGGTTGCGGCTAGCCCCTTGGATACAATGTTCCTGCTCTTCAATTTATCGCAGAAAACTTTGGCTTGCGCGGACGACTTGAACATGTTGTCGAATGTGACCCCAGGGATTTTCGGGTAGGTAGTGGTTCTCGATGTGCCCCTCGACCTTCACTATCGGCTGTGTTCTCATCTCCGCAGTTCATGTAGTAAATAGTGTGGCCGTTGATTTGGATATTTGATGATGATTTGGCGGATATTTTTATCTATTTCTATCTATCTATGGAACGAATTGAGATGAACGGCAGAAATTTTGCACACATGTGTATTTTACCAGTAGGCAGGTTAAGTTCGTAAATGGGTCATGTCAGTCCACGTTTTAATAAAACGGTACCACCCAATATTCGGCATTTTTATGATTTTAGGGGCATTATTCACCGTAATTGTTTGAAATATCGTATTTGAAATTCATTATGGGTCCTACAGCCTATGATTGAAAATTGCCTATGCAGGTCCACATCTTCATATAGCACCCATATAACAGTGCCTTCCAATATTCGGTATTTTGATGATTTTAGCGACTTTTTTTATCGAAATTGTTTCAAACTTCGTAGTTGAAGTTCGTAATGGGTACTGCAACCTATGACCGACAACTGTCTATGCAGGTCCACGTCTTCGTATAGCCCCCATATAATGATACCTCCCAATATTCGGTATTTTGGTGATTTTAGTGAAACTTCTAGCCGGAATTGTTTCAAATTTCGCAATTGAAGTTCGTAATGGATACTACAACATATGACAAAAATTGTTTTTGCAGGTCCACATCTTTGCATAGCTCCCATATAACGATACCTTCCGATATTCGATATTTTGATGATTTTAGCGACACTCTTTGCCGGAATTGTTTCAAATTTAGTATTTGAAATTCGTAATGGGTAGTACAGCCTACAACAAAAAATCGCCTATGCAGGTTCACATCTTTGTATAGGCCCCATATATCAATACCTCCCTATATTCGGTATTTTGATGATTTTAGCGACTGGAGGTATTTCAAATTTCATAGTCGAAGTTCGTAATGGATAGTACAGCCTATGACAAAAAAATTATCTATGCAGGTCCACGTCTTCGTATAGCCCCCATATAACGGTACCTCCCATTATTCGGTATTTTGATGACTTTAATGACATTTTTCGCCGGAATTGTTTTAAATTTCGTATTTGAAATTCGTAACGGGTACTTCAGCCTACAACAAAAAATCGCGTATGCAGGTCCTCGTCTTCGTATAGCCCCTTATATAACGATACCTCCCTATATTCGACGTTTTGACGACTTTAGCGAATTCGGATGAAATAATGATGATGAATTCGGATAAAATAATGTAGGCTAGTAAAGAATGCCTTTTCAAGGATCAACAAACCTGTAAAGGAAACTTTGGACTTTCTAAGGAAATTTTGGCAAAGTCCGAAAACCAGCACTTTTTTAAGAATTGTTTTTCATGGGCTAAGAGACAAAAGTGGTTTCTCAAATCTCTTCCTTATTTTCTTGAATAACTCCTTCTAAAAGACATTCATTTTCAAAAATCAATCGCCCCCGTAAAACATCTCACGTCTTACGGATGATGTCCTTTTCACTGCCGTGTTAAAGAGACTTGTTATTGTTGTCACATAAAAAAAAATTAGTAGACTTGCAATGGCTGCAATTTGAAGAAAGAAAGAAGAGTTTATAAATGTGACCAAAAACTAGCAACGACAACGGCAACAACACGCTCACACATTTAACCGTCTAGCTAGCTAAGTTGGTACAATGTTTGTTGGACTACTACTCCACCATGCATTCATTCGGTTCGAATTAGTTGCGCCAAATAAATTGTCCACGTACAACCTGTGTTAAACGTGATTTATAGAACTTCGAAACAACAACAACAACCAGAAGACGAAAAAAGTTTCTTTCCTTAATTTTATGATGGCAAATTTTCACAGCCTTAAAGAGGTATTTTCAAAGTAATTCGATTTGATTTGTGGGGATTTATAGTTGTGTAGAAATTTTAGGTGGCATTAAATGACATTGGAGAGCAAATAAATTGATGTACATATTGGTACAGGATAAAAGTAGCGGATAATGAAAGGTGGGGTAATTACAAAAACTTGCAATAGCGGCAACAGCCACATTGCATATATTTGGAGAGAAATAAAATACCCACAAATGACCCGGAATATCAAATTACTGCTGATTTGATTGAAAATCGGGTGTCGAAACCTTCAAAACACCAAAAAGCAAGAGGTTCCGGTATATACAGGGTGAGATGGAAATACTGCAACCAACTTCAGACTGCTGTCATTTCTAAGCCTCTCGTCCGACAGCTGTTAAAATTATTCCAGTGACAGCTCATTATATTGTTTACAAGCGTACAAAAGCATTTTGGTGAGAATTTTCCAGAAAAAAAATTATTCGTGATGGAATTCAAGCGGGATAGTGTGATTTCTTTATATTTGGCTGGAAAACCACAAGTGGCTAAAGCTATAGTTAGAGCACTCCAGCATTTAAATGTGAATACATCTTCTGTGTCTCGTACCATCGCTCGTTACCGTCATACTTGTAGCGTATCCCGACGTCAAGGAAGTGGACGGAAGAAAACAGCAATATCAGCAGAAATGGTTCGAAAAGTAAAGAAGCGACTTGATCGAAACCCGCGTCGCAGTGGCCGAAAAATGTCTCATGAGCTGAACATAGCGCAATATTCCATTCGGCAAATATTGAAAAATGAGCTCGGGGTACAGCCATTGAAATTCCAAAAAGTACAAAAACTTACACCGCAACAGAAAGAAGATAGACTCAAAAGAGCTAAAGAGTTGCTTCGCTTGGCCGAAAATGGTGATCTGCCGAATTTGGTTTTCTCCGATGATAAAACATTCGTTGTCCGGCAGTTTGTAAACAAACAAAATAATCGTGTTTACTTGTCAAAGAGGTCAGCTGAAAATGTGCACCTTCGGTTGGCCACCAGAACTCAAGCGCCGGCCATGGTGATGGCGTGGGCCGCCATAACAGCCGATAGTCGCTCCCCGCTCGTATTAATTGACCGTGGCATCAGAATTAATCCCGAATATTATCACGAAAATATTTTGGAGGGTGTATTAAAGCCTTGGGCACGCAAACATTTTGGCCCCAGACTTTGGACATTCCAACAGGACTCAGCGCCATCGCACTCACCAAGAATGGTTACAAAATGAGGTTCTTCATTTCCAACGTACAATGGCCACCAAAATCTCCGGATACCAATCCGTTGGACTATTGTGTCTGAAGTATTTTGGAAAGTAAGGTTGGCACTAAAAAATACCGAATTGTCGATCGTCTCAAGCAAGCGCTTGGCCGGGAATGAGCCAAAATACCGCAGAGCAACATTCGGGCAACGTGTGACGGTTTCATTGGCCGTTTGAAGGCCATAATTCGTGCCAAAGGTGACCAATTCTAACAAATCTAAACTTATTCTAAAATTTGATGCTATTTCCGTTTCATTCAATAAAATTAGAATAAAAATTGAAAAATTATGGCGTTTGACCTTGTTGCACTCTTTTTATCTCACCCTGTATACCCTCTCTAGCCATATGGGAATAATAATTACAGGATAAAAGTAACGAAAGTACCGTAAGCAGTTGAGAGGATTGTCTGGTAAAAACGTTGTTAACTTCGCTTTTTTAGGAGAGTTGACCCACCCACTGCGAATTCGGTTTGAAATTTGAACAGTTCTTAATAGTATGGTCTGATATAGGCTTGAACATAAACCATCCATGATTATAAGGCATGATATATGTTTGGAAATATTGTTAAAAAATTCATGATTTAATGACTTGAAAAGGCTTGAAACTATTCTTATACATTCCACGATTATATGGCTTGATATGGGCTTCAAGGTATTTTTAAACATCCCACATTGTATGATTTGACAAAGGCCTGAAAATATTCTTAAACAATCCACTATTGTATGGCTTGATATAGGCTTGAAAACATTCCTAAATAATTCATGACTAAATATCTTAATAAACGATCCATGTTTATACCTCTTTGAAGGCTTGAAAAAATTCTTAAAAATATTCTTAAATAATACCGATTATGTGATTTGATAAACGCTTGAAAATGTTGCTAATCAATCCATGTTTCTGTGGCTTGATATAGGCATGAAAATGCTGTTAAACAATCCACGATTATATGGCCTGATAAAGGCTTGAACATTTGTTCAACAATCCATGTTTATATGGCTTGATAAAGGCTTGAAAATATATTTGTATGACTTGTTATAGACTTGAAAATATTCCTAAAAAAATTAACGATTATATGGCATGATATAGACTTGAAAATATTGTTAAACAATTC